ATTTATGGAACATATTGAGTTGAAATTGGCCCATTTATATACCTTGTGAATCATGTAAATATTTAATAAGATTAATATATGCATTATAAGATAGTTACACATTTGTATCAATTCACAACCAAGAATTTGTGAAGAAAAAAGAACTATTAATAGTGATCAAGATGAATTACTTGAAAATGCTAGTGGTCTATATCTCAAGCTCTTAATGATTATGAGATGAAAAAAAGCCTACTCATTATAACGGTCTATTAAAGATTATTTATGCCTTCGCCAAGATGATTTGACCAAAAATTATGATGACAAGATTTTTTATTTAAATATGTAAGTTTGCAATTGCAACACTTAAATGTATTAAGCCAATAAAATATTATGAATACTCCCAACTATAATTTGGCTTTTTGTCAAGAGTCAAAGATTGAGACTCTGTGACAAAGACTCTACCACTATGTATCAAATATACTTTCAAAGAAAGTTTGAAATAATCCCAAAGTCTTTATGTTTTAGTGAAATTTAATTAAATTATATGTGTGACATAATTCATGGATTCAATTTATAGTACAAGCATTCAGCTTATCAACACAAAATAAGGTTGGGAATAAATGTTGGTTAAGATTTTTCTCCTTCTTATTTGTTTCTAAATGAAACAAAATAATATTTCTATCAGAAATAGATTGATCTAGAATGCTTATACCACATGGTTTGTAATCCCAAAAATAAGGGAAGATGATGAAAACTTGAAAACCAATATACATGAATGCATTATCAATATCTTGTATAGATCCTCATATATAAATCAAAGGTTCATATAACGTTGCATTAATGAGATAAAATAATTGTCATATATGTAAATACTGACAAAAAGAAGAAATTGTAAATTCATTCTCTAGCTAATAATGCTTCAAAGGTATAAATAAAAAAATGATGAATCATGCCTGAAGCACGGAAGGCCAATCGATTCCAAAGAAAGGAATCTCATAGAAAGAAAAAGGAGAAGACAAGTAAGATGATCATGTTAAAAAAGCTATCATTCTAAAAGAAGCTAAGACATAACTAACTTTAAGTCTCCAAAAGATGATCATGTACTTAATGATATTAAAGAGATATTTAAAAGTTATGTCAATTTGAGAAATGATGGAATTGAAAAAATAGAAGTCGTTGACAACATTTTCAATAAGGATGAAAAAATTGAAATTAATGAGGATCTTGATAGAATGTGAATAAAAAGCCAATCATATTTAGAGAAAATGACACAATATAAGTAGAATTATATTAACTTGTTCAAGGTATGAATGTTATGAATTTATAGTTCAAGCACCTGAAGTACGATATTATACATGAGCATTTATGCAAAAGAAAAATATAGAATATCACATGCAAAGCTTAACTTTCAATGTAAGAATATGATAGGAGACGCGGAAAAAGAATCGTGCTAGTTAGGGATAGAACCCTGAAACACAACAAAAATACAAGAACAAAAAGAAAAGGAACGAAATTTATGACGAAAATAAAGAAAGATGTGAAGTAAACAATGGGATAATGATCAAGGAGAAAATCCTCTAAAGCACTTGCCTCTAGGAACCTCAACCTTCGAAGACATTACAAGAGTTGATCACACTTTTGATCACGTCTGTTTCTCACACGGGATGCCACCACAAAGCACTAAGGCTCACAAGAGTTATAAACTCTAAAAATGAATAATTTCATTCAACTTTTATTTTTTTACAAGAAGGAGCATGCCTAATTCATATAGACTAATAGAGAAGAATATTTCCTAAAATTAAACCCTAATTTCCTAATACTAAAAGAAGAAATAATATAAAATAATAATAAAATATTCAGCCATATAATTTAGGAGATGTGATCCTAAAATTATGGGATTATAAAATTTAAAAATTAATACTATAATTAATTCTAACCTTTGAATAGACTCAAAATAGAAAATCAAATCAAAAGACCATTAAAATAGAAAATAATTTGGGAGACAATCAAGGGATCATAAAAGATTTAAAATTACACCACCCTTGACTTCTTCACTAGGGTTTCATGCCTCCTTACTTATAAGAGGCTCAACTTATAGTCTTCCTTACATTGGGCTAAGGTTTGCATCTCTTGGGCTTGGCTTTTCATGAGTTTGGATCTTAAGTATATTATACACGTATAGATGCTCTCCTTTGGGCTTAAGAGGAGTGCCCCAATTCTCTTCAAGCTCTTGAACTTCTTTCATAAGACTGAATAAGGCTTGCTTCATGGCTTTAGTTCGAGCTCTTTTTATTGGACCTCCAATATGTTGTAATGGGTTTTTAGGTACATTGGATTGGAAGTATTGGACTCCTTGCTCCTTGCCTTGGGCTCCTTCCATGTCACAATGCTCATGATTACCATCCTCAAGCTTTGTTGCCATTAATGTCATGTCATCTGTGCCATGGGGTCCATCAGAATATCTTACAAAGATTCAAAATATGCATTAACGTATTGTGTGGTATGTGAAATGATTTTTTATATGTTACTGGTTTGGCAATATAGAAATTTGATATGTATACACTAAATGATAGCTTATTTACATGGCTTTCTAGCATTCACTTAAAAATCCTAACAAGATTTAAGATGATAAAAATTCTTAAGAATTTTTCTTGTTCATTATATTTGTTTATATGATTATATACATATTGATTTGTATCAGAATTTATTGAGCAAGCATTATTAAATATTCTAGAGAGTTTATATGAACACTTGATTGTTAGATAAAAATGTTAAAATGTTAGGTGATTAGATGGAAATCAAGATTTTTTTTCGATAAGATAATGAAATATGGTCCTGCCATGCCACATATGAATGCCTTCATATCACAATTCATGACATTGCATTGATTTGCTATGAAGTTATATACTTGATATGATATGCTCGAGGAATTATTATGCGTGATTGATTTACTAAACTTATTTATGATTAAAATTAATTAATTATTCATGTATTATACATGTCTAGTTTGAAATATATTAGTTGACTTCTGAGAGATTATTTATTTATAAAAATATATGTATATCAAAATTGTTTTTTTTTTTACTTCCACAAGGTATGCCACAAGTAGAAAATGTGTTCATATCCAAAAGATATATTTAGAGAAGATATTTCAAAATATATACACACACACACACACACAGCCTAGCCATAAAAGCATATCAACTTGCAGACTCAAATGCACTAGCAACAATAATATTCAAGAAATTGATACATAATTAGGATAAAATGACTCAAGAAGACTCAAGAACAAGAAGTGATATCATCATCACAGAAAGTAAAAATTATGCTGCACTTTTTTTTTTTAACCAAAGTTTTGTCCAATTGGTTTTCTTGGTTAGATTTTTAATGAGATATCTTCAATAAATATAACAACATTGTGTGCTTTTTTTCCTTCACAAAATTTTTGTCCTATCGTGTTTTTCTTATTAAGGTTTTAAGTTTTAACAAGCATAATATCTAAATATCCAAAGGAGAGTAATGTAAATATTAGGATATTACATGAATGTCTATTATCTTAAATTCTCTAATATCTTTCGGTTACTATAATATCTTTCAATTATTATTATCTTATATATTTTATTTACTTTAATTCATATATTTGTATTTATAAATAGAAGGCACTTTAATTGTATTTTACATATTGAAATGAAAAAGCTCTTTATTTTTTTATTCTCTTAGCATAGTTTTCTCTCTTATCACCTCCTTTCAATCTCTATTTTTATAACACTATTAAAATAAATGAGATAAAACAATTTTTTGGTGGGAAAATAAACTCAATAACATAGAGTAGGAGTCATGTTACTATATAACACTTGCTCCTAATTTTTATTCTTCCCCTTTTGTTGAACTTTGATTTGTCATGAAAAATTGGCTAAAATATATTTTTAATCTTTTAATTTTATATAACGTTTCACCATCCTTTAATTTTATAAAGTGTTTGCTGAACTTCGTTTTATAAAAAATTAGTCTTTTAACCCTAATATCATTAATTTTATCCATAACAAATTTTATATTAAACTTTCAAATATAGATAAAATATTCTTAAATATTGACTTGTTAAGTTTAATTTTTTTAAAATAATAATGATTGATATAAAAAATAATTATTTGAAACTAACGATGTTAGAATTAAAGGACTAAAAAATACTTTATAAAATTTAAAATTAAATTAAAATTTAATATAAAATTAAAAGACTATAAATATACTTTAACTTAAAAAATCAACACTGTAGTACAATAAATAAATATATTAAAAAAAAAACATACCCATGCAAAGTGTAATATCTTATCTGAACCAACATGTAATCCTGTCTCATTGCTTTTCAAACTGAATATTTTAATGTTGTGACGCATGCCCTGGCTTGGGCATAAAAATTTAAAAATAATGATTATTTTTCTTTCTGAAGTCAAATTCAAGTGATAAATAGCGAGAAAAGAAAATAATGCCATGAGTATGTCTTGTCAAAACCTACCTGACCTCCATTTTTTTGTGCCTTCCAATATTCATTCTCTCACTTCTGCATAATTTATCCTATGTCCTAATCGGCAAGATTTATATGCTTGGTTGGTGTTGGTGTATGGTAGTTTCCTTGCAATTCTAACCAGACAAGAGATGGTCAAGCCACCGTTAAAATAATTTTTTACATTTTTGTTTAAAAAATGACCACATAGAGGATGGCAGGATACTGAAAAATTGTTACTTTTTATTTAAAAATATAAAATATTTTTAATTGAATATTATTTTTTAATAAAATAATTATTTATTTTTAACTAACCTTATTTTTTATATTTACTTTTATCAAATACTCTATAATAAATATAAAATTATTATCAATAGAGATATTTTTTTTAAAATGTAATAATTATATTTTAAAAAATTAAAAATATTTTATATTTTTTAATATTTAACTTTTAAAAAATATCTTATATTTTTTTTGGGGCAGCACTGCAAATAAAAAAACGTCATGATGGGCATCTCAGAAAAGGAAAGCGGGAGTCTTCTTTTGTGATCTCCGAACACGAAAGCTTCCGAATCTTTCCTGTGTCTCTCACTATCTTCGCGGTTTTAAGCTTCTGGGGTCCCCTTTCACTTGCAGAGCTCAGATCTCTCTTCTCTCGTTGCTTTTAATCGTTTTCAAGCAGGTACTCGCGTTTCCTTGAATATATTCTTTGCAATTGTAGTCAGATATGCTTATTTGGGTCTATGATTTGGTTCTGTGGCTTACTTGCTGATTGATCTGTCAATATAATCTGATTTGCTTGATAAGGGTTTTACTGTGTTTTACTGGGTTCTTGTTATCGTAGTGATTTACCGGTGTGAACTTGCAATTTTGCTTAAGATTACATTTTTCTTGCCTCTTTCCCTATTCGTCCTTAGGTCAATCCCCGTTCGGCATGCTCGTATTTTTACCGCCTTCGTGTCCTAACGTGGTCTGATGCATTCTAATCTTGGATCTTGTCTGTCTGAAATGATTGTGTGCTTTCATGGTCCACTAATGTTGCCTAACTAAGGGTATTTTGCCTGCTACTTGGGCTGAGTAATGAGATTCTGCCGAAGAAGCCCTTGCTTATGACCTTTGAAGTATGGAGTGGGTATTGATTTCAGGCATGTTGATCGTCTGCGTCGGGTAGCAAACCAAACACCCCAAAAAAAAAAAAAGAGCTGTTCTGTACTAGGGTTTCACTTCTTGAGGCCAGTCATTGGTAAATGTTGGTCCCCTTCATAGTTTACTCAAGCGATTAAACTTCGCATTCCACATTTGTGATCACCTATAAATCATTTTTGAGGGAGCTGTGGCTATTACGATCAGCAATTTTTAAGTTCCTTATCTGCCTTTCTCTTTATAATTCACATTAGCTGTATTTTCCTATTATACTTGCAGGTTTTTGTTATGATGATTTACTATTGGTTTCTATTAAACGAGTTTTTTTATACTTTCATATGAAATTACTGGCTTGGTTCTCTGTTCTTCTGTCGATTTGAGATGGGGCAGAAAAGGGTGGCAAATTGAAATATGATCTTCTTCTGGTTTCCACAGGTAAAGTTGATATATGGTTAATGATTTCTTTTGTTTGTACTCTCTTAGATGGCAATGCAGGAAGCAACCCCTGCCTCTGCTCCTAGTGCTGAAGTGGTTGGCAATGCCTTTGTGGAGCAATATTATCATATTCTGCATCAATCCCCAAACTTGGTGCACCGATTTTATCAGGATTCAAGTTTCTTAAGTCGACCAGATGGCAATGGAGTGATGATGACAGTGACAACTATGCAAGTAAGTTCAACAGGCCATGCGTGTATAATTCACTTGTAGCACACACATAAAAAATCCTTATATTGTTTATTCCCAACTATATCTAAATTATAGAGCAATTATCGATGAAACTTTTTTCCCAATTGTTAAAGATACAAAGAACCCAGATGCCCTGAGGTCATTATTGAGGTTTTGAGGTTAGATTTTCCCCCCAATCATTTTCATAAATGATTTCTTTACATGTATACCATCTTGAACTTCATCTCTGCATCTGCGGTGGAGTAGTGGGAGTATTCTTAATTCTGAAATGGTTGACATTTAGGGCTTTGTATTTACTACTATATGCTATATTGAGAGGAATATTCTTGAAAAAATTTAGTAGGATATGGAGAGTTCTGACATGTAAAATAACCAAGCAGACTTTGGTAGAAGAAAACTGTTGAAGGGCTATAGCTTTTAACCTCTGGCTTGCAAGTGGGGTATGAACAGTGATATCTTATGCTTTTCCTGCTGTCACAGAGCCAACTGGCATTGAAGGACATATTTGTAGATTTCATATATGACAACTGGCATCTTTCTTTTTTTATCAATAGAAGGTTAAAAGCAATGATGATTGAGCATGAAACTTAGACCAGATTACTGCTCTGTATTTATGTATTATAATTTTCTTAGCATCATAAAGTTAGCAATTGTTTAATCATTAAGTTCTTTGCATTCATACTCAGCAGGAGTGGAAAGTTTGAGCAATTATTCATCCAATCCTTCCATGATCTTATCCAGCCCAATCCAAACCATTCAGAATTTGGAAATCCATAACATATGCTAGTAGCTGCAGTCTCTCAGCCAACCTTATGTTGAATTTTTCTGTAACTGTTTCAAGAATTTTGTGGAAGAATAACTAAGAATCCTCTTGTTAATTTCCTTTTCACTTCATTAATTCTTCTGTGAGCATATCTAGAAGGATAATTCCTGACGTTTGATTTTTTTTTTTCCTTCACCAGATTCAAAACCATCATCATAGTTGTGCATTTGGTTCTCAAACTTGTATATTTAGCTTAATATTTTGCTAGTGTATGCTTTGAGTAAGTTTGTTCTCTTGCGTACACTAACACAACTTGATTTGCTTTAATTCCAACTCAAAAATTGGAGCAGGCAATAAATGAAAAAATTCTTTCCCTGAATTATGAAGACTATACAGCGGAAATAAAAACTGCAGATGCTCAGGAGTCATACGATAAAGGTGTGATAGTTTTAGTTACTGGATGCTTAACTGGGAAGGATGGTGTGACAAGGAAGTTCACACAGACATTCTTTCTAGCTCCACAAGACAAAGGCTATTATGTCTTAAATGATGTCTTTAGGTATATCGAGGATAAAGACACATTGCAATCAAATCCTGTCTCTGAAATCATCAATGAAAACATTGAGAAAGTTCCTGTGCCAGAAGCAGGTTTGTATGAGTTTTCATTATCTGCATTGTTAACTCACAAAATTGGAAATTGACTATTTCATGTTTCCAGAGGTTGTATATGCTCCTGAACATGTGGCAGACCCTGCAACTTCTGTAGAGGTGGAACATCTTCATAATGGTGCTGAAGCTGATGATCCTTTGGACAATGAGGGAGAAGGATCAGTTATTGATGAAGAGGTTGTTGAACCCTCTACTGAACTGAATCAGAACAATATTGTTACAAGTGTTCTATCAACTCCAGCAGCCCAAGATGATGCACCAAGAAAATCATATGCATCGATTGTGAGAGAATCCCCATACTGTTTCCTGTTTGGTGGTTTCAATTCATCTCTTACATTTGTTAATGGTTTATTACATTTATGTGAAGGTAATGAAAAGTAATGCAACATCTGGTTCCTGTCTATGTTCCAAGCCGAATCATAGTGGCATCTACAAAACCAAGTCAGCAATTGCCTGCTACTGCCAAACCTACTCCTGGACCTGAGGTACCAGTGCCTATTAATGACAGCACTCCTGAAAGTAGTGATGTTCATGAAGAAGGTATATATCGAAGCTTGTTGACATGGTTGACAGCTATTCTATCTTTTAGACAAGTTAGCTGCAATTTAAAAACACATCTTCCGTCGTTGTTGACTCATTTGTCCATCTTTATTGAGATTTGTGAGTGAAGAAGATTAAAACAGCCATGGTAGGAAAAAGGATCACCAGAGTAAAACAATTAACAAACCAGTGCTTTAAATTTCAGTTGAATGATAAGTTGACTTGCACTTTATTTCACAGCTGAAGGTCACTCAATATATGTACGAAATTTGCCATTTAATGCAACAGTTGAACAACTTGAGGAGGTGTTTAAGAAATTTGGGCCTATTAAGCATGATGGAATTCAAGTTAGAAGTAGCAAGGTGCATAACTATTATTTTCTACATTTTCAAAGAAAAAAAACCCAAGAATTATCTAAAGGCAAGCTTACTAGGTACTTTTTTCTATTGCAGCAGGGATTCTGTTTTGGATTTGTTGAATTTGAAGAATTGAGTTCCATGCAGAGTGCACTTGAGGTACAGTCTGTTTTGCTAAACTGCTGAGATTATAGTTTTACATCAGCAGAAACTGCTTATAGGTGCCTGTATATGGACTGTCATGGGATTAACTAATAAAGTTCTGGTATTAACTTTTGTAGTGCTTTGTCTGTAGTGTTTCTTGTACATATTAGCATTGCTATGTAGTTTGGGTCAATGCTGTGTCCATAATTCCTAAATTCTAGCTTCTAATAGGAGTCACTTAAGGGCTGCAACGCCAAAAACCTAAATCAGTCACTGTTAAAGAAATGTACTGAATGACTATTTGGTTGTCAAAGGTTCAAGGTGAAAACATCGTAACCTTGAATTCTTCCTTATCAATGAAGTAGTTCTGCGTAAGAGATTTCTGGAAATCCAGCTGAAGTAATATCGAAATGTACTTTGCAAACAGGATTGGTTTTTTATGTTTGCTGGACTGGAAAATTTGCTGGGAATGTTTAGCAAGCCTGCTTTACCTTCACTAGGTGTGTGACAGAGATAAAGGTCATACTTGTTTGTAACTGAATAGACACTTCTATGATTGATTCATCTGAATGATAAAGAGTTCATTGTTTATGTCCCTGGTGATTTTTTGATATAATGCTAGATATCTATCTTCTCATTTGTTAGATCATTGTCCATAAGGCCTCTGAGTTCTAGTTCTGATCAAAGCTCCTGCTAGTTGATTTGTATCTGAAAATTAAGGATTCAAGATTGCTGTCTCAGTTCGTTCTACTCTTGTATGGCTTTTTGAGTGGTCTTGTCTAAACCTGAAGATGGTCCAGAATATTTTCGATTGCTTGTTCGAGAACTACGCTCTTTGGCTCTGAAACTGAATTATTTCCTTTTTCTTCTTCTTCTGCCCTAAAAAGGTGTTTCACATTTGTTCCCCATTTTCTTAAACCACCAGATACCTGGTATTACAGAGAACTGTAGTGAGTGTTAGTGGGAACATGGCACACTTTGGGGAATGCGATGCTACTCCAGGACATTGTCTATTTCTTCTCACCATCCCCATAGTGTATGAGACAAATGCATGCATTTTGAATTTTTGATTAGGGTTCTATCTATGCCATGTGAAAGGAGGTGAGGGGGAGAATGAGAAATAAGTCGACTTAGTGATCCATTTTACTCATAAAACTCCTAGAATGGTTTTGGCCTCTAGAAAGATGAACTTAGTCTAGTTCCGTGTGTGTGTGTGTGAGACTTCTGCAGTTTTTGTATGTTAAGTTCGGTTGTAATACCCACATGAGCTTTTGTCAGTAGCAAAGTAGGGCCATGGCCATGAGACATAATTTAAAACCATATGTCTTTGAATTTCTATTTCTCTAGAATAGAAACCCCATCAACTGAAATAAGTAGTGATATAAATTATCCTCTTCTAGTTCTGTTATATTATTCATAGTTTGCACACTGGCAGACTGGAACAGTTTCTGCCAATTCAGATTGTTTTGTCTTCATGATGTCCTGAATTTTCTATCATTGAATATCATGACTTGCCGACAGTATAATAAACCTGGGTAACATTCATTTCAGGCGGCACATGTCGCTATTGGTGGTCGGCAAGCTGCCATTGAGGAAAAGAGAACAACTACACGAGGTAAACTGTTTGACATGAAGAAGTTATATCTTATGGGGATCGGACTATGGATGTAAGATAGAGGCTGATTTTGCTATTTCTTGCAATCCTATTCCAGTCAGCGGTAGTAGTGGGAGAGGGAGGTATCCTTCAGGAAGAGGTAGCTTCAGAAGTGAGAGCTTTAGGGGCCGAGGAAAATTTGGCAGCGGCCGAGGTTACGGAAGAAGCGATTTCAGAAACCAGGGAGAGTTTTCAGGGCGGCATAAAGGTTCAGCTGGACAGAAAGGAGATAGTTCGTTACAGGTAAGCCAAAATGGAAGTGGACGAGGCAGCCGGCAAGGTGGCGGAAGCCGTAGTTCTCAACCATTAGCTTAAGCATGATCGTTGGTTAAGAGAAACTACTCAATGGATTTTTACCCCCTTTTTGGTTAGCAGGAAAACAAGCAAAACACGTTAACATTTTTCCCTTGTTGAGGAAAGGGGACAATAATTTAACTTGTGGTTAAATAGGCGCAAGTTGAGGGTTCCGATTTGCATGTTCCAATCATTCAATGGTATATTAGTCATAAATTTATGATTAGGAGGCTTACTCAGCCCATACACGAGTGTTTTTTCTGGGTCATGTTATTTTGCTTTTTCAAAAACGACTTTTTTCTTTTCCTAACCCCCTCTCCCTCACTTGTTATGTCATTTTCGTTTCTAGACTGTCTCTTTTTGTTTGGTTTATTGGCCATGTGATTTTCTTTCAAGGGGAAAACGAGCACTTCAGGCTGTAGTGAATATTTGAGTGATTTAAGAACCATCTCTATGAACTTGACAGATTTAAAATGGCAGGTTGACAATAATCAATATTGTTATTTTTTATGTAAAACATAAACTCTATGGAGGTTGTATAATTTTAGTCACGATCATGTCAGTTTTTTTGACATTTCAAATGTGTTTTTAACTCTTCTGTGGCCTCTTCGATGACCGAAAGCGGCGGTGATAATGAGTTAAAATAGAATGTAAAACTGGACTAATGATTGGACAGGTCAAGGTAGCAGATCATGATATAATAGTTAAGCTGTGATTAAATCATGATCAAACTAGTTATGAACAAATTAATATATTTTATACAGTATAAGTTTGAAATAAAAAGAAATAATTATTCATAATAATAGAAATGAATATTTAAATTCAAAGAATAATAATATAAAATTAAAATGGCAATATCCAACAATTTTTCATTATAGTCATCCGAAATATTTATGCTTATTTTATAATTTTAGAATACATGCATGCATATTATCTTTATATTTGCTCATTTTCCCTCCTTCCACATGCTTATTTGATAGGGATATATGTAAATTTTAGTTCAAAAACGTGAATTAAAATTTTTAAAAATTAAATAGAAATAAAATGAAAAATGTGCTATGTCTATCCCATCATTGGTTTTAATCAGTTCGAGGTTGGGCTTAATTAGTTCTTGACCAATTCTTTAGCTCATCGATTTCCTCTCATGTGCGAACCAAATATTAAACCGGTTCTCAGTTCAATCAATCAAACCGATCTAGTTTTTAAGCCGTGCTCCATCACCATTTGAAAAAATAATAAACCAATTGATTGTGGTTAAAAATAATAAAAATAAGTGACATGCATGGTGGCGGTGACAAATGAGAGAAATAAATGAAAGGGAGCATGATTTATACCCCATTCGTTAAAAAATATAATGCATTTTTTGAAAAGTTAAATATTTAAAAATATAAAGTGTTTTTAGTTTTTGAGATATAATTATTTTTTTTTAAAGTGCCCCTGTTGATAAATAACTTTATATTTATTGTAGAATATTTAATAAGGGTAAATATGAAAAATATAGGGTTAGTTTAAAAGTAAGTAATTATTTTATTGAGGAGTGAGATTCAGTTAAAAATGTCTTACATTTTTAAATAGATAGACTACATAACATAAACATCAATATTTCTATAACAAAAAAATTTAAATATCTATTAAATTATATTAAGGGTATAAGTTAATAAAATCAAATATTAAAAAATTTATATCTATTATAATCATGTATTTTTAATTTTTGTTAAATAAAATCCATATACCTCTTTTGTGTGATATAATTTTTGGTGATAAAATTTTTATATACAATTTTTTTAAGTTATTACTCCCTCTAGACCATAATATAGGTTATTTTCTAAAAGTTCCACTTGGTCCAAAATATAGAACACTAGGAAGGTTATATACATATATATTCAATTATAACCCTACTTTTTTAATATTTCACCCAAGTAATTAATGATAATGTTTTAAATGAGTCAGATGTTATATTTATTTAACTCAAAGGTATGATTAAAAATATGTGAAATTTTTTTAAAAAATCAAGATTTTAACTATTCTTTTAAAAAATTATAAATTAATTAACAATAACTTATATTATACTTGTAGTCTAAATGAAGTAGTATTTAAGGCTATAAAACATGTAAAAATTTGATATGATAAATTTTCAAAAGGGATAAATAAAATTTTATAAGGAGAGAAGTGCAATTTTTTGAAGTGAGGGGCCTAATAAAATTTTTTTAAGAGGACAACTAAAATTATTAATGGTCATTCTAGATAGGTTTTTCTTGTGCTATGGTGAACGTGGATGCGTCCTGATAGTGGGCGTACATAAATATGGAGGAAATTAAGCATCCCCTGAAATAGTGATATGAAACATTTAAGACAATGAATACAAATCTTATTTGTCAAAAAAAAAAAAAAGTCGCAAGGTACTACTCCCCTAGTCCTTTTTTTTTTTTCAACCAACAGAAAATTTATTGGGGAAAAAAACACACTAAAGAAAAAACAAAGAAAATAATTGGAGGTTTTAACAATACCTGACCGAAATGGACACAATCTTTTTATTAAAAAAAAAACTTCTATCGTTCGTTAATTGCCTAAATCGTAAAAATTATTATTTTTATAAATTTCTCTCCCTAATTTTCTTTTTCAATATTTTCTTCTCACTTTTTTCTCCACCCTAAATTATCTATCGCTAATTAACAAGAATGAGAGGCGAACATAAGTTCATCATTGTCAAAGGAGTCTCAACCAAGCAACCCAAAACAAAGAATTAAGCAAATTTGATCCCCAGAATCTGCCATTAGCTATTTCCAATCAAAACAGACTTAAATTCAAGCTAAATCAAATGAATAATAATTGAACATTTTTGAATGGATGGAGTATGTGTTTAGTGTTCTACTTCTTTTTAATGTAATAAATTAAAAAAGTGCAATAACATGTTATAAATTATAATACTAATGTAAAATAAATATTTTTTTGATGCACAGGTATCTTTCTATTAGCAACAATATTATTGAAGAAACAGCTAGATATTAAATGTAAATATTTTTTTCAATGAGAATTTGAATATTGATTTGCTACATTATGAAGATTTTAAAAAACTAATCCTTTTTACTAGATTCAAATCCATTGGTAACTTAAAATAAAGATTTTAATAAGAAATACCACACATAAATGTACCATAGCATCTGAACCATAAACATTGTTCTGGTTTTCCATTTTAAAAATTGCACGGGCAAAATATGAATAGTTTTTGAATAATATTTCTTCTAGAGATAAAAGCAACGTATTTTTTTCTGTCCAAAATATACTTTTTTTTGTTAATTTTGATTCAAAATATAAGTAACTTAATATTTATAATTTTTTTAAATTTTTTTATTTATTAACTTAAGAATTTTATGTCTGTGAACTAATGTCCTTCTTTTCATTTGTCACAAAATGAAACTAAGAGTAAAAAGTAAAAATAATACTCCTTCCATTTGTATATATAAGGTATTTTTAACTAAATTTTGTATACCAATGAAAATATATTATCTAATTGAAAACACATAAAATTATGATAAGTTTTTAATTTTATTCTTAATAATATCAATTAATATCATGACGGTGGGTACCAAAGCATCTAATTAATATCTCCTCATCTTTTCAAGACAAGAATAATATTATTTAATTATTTAAAAATATTATAACACTTCTTATATTTAGAGGCAAAATAAATTTATAGAAAATATCTTTTATATATAAATAGAGAGTATATATTTTTATAAAAATAAAAGATTTATTGATATATAAATTATTATTAAAAGATTATTATATTTTAAACTGGATGTAGTAAAAATTTCATGTACACGTGTGGGCTCAAATGGAGAAGAGGAAAGGGGCAACGGTTATTTTCGTTGGGAAGCCAGGCTTGAGTCACTTGCCACTTTAATGCTGCTGACCCAAGCTTTGATTTCAATATAGTCTAGTCCTATTTGAGTGTGTTCTGTCTTTTCATGTTGACAATTTTTTTTAATGTTTTTTTAATATTTGACATTGTTTCAAATAATATTTTTTTAATATTTAACAATAATGTTTTTCTAATCCAGGTAAAAAATAATAATAATATTTTTATAGTTTGAAAAGCGAGGAGAATCTCATGAGTCATTGCATACTATTTTTAGCTTTGATATTTTTTCCACAATAGTATTCATTATATTCCTTCTGTTTACTACCTCGACATCTTGCACTATAATATCCAGATTGCAAGAAAAGCAATATATGAAACATTTTTAAGATGTTTTCTTAATATGTCTGTTTGATAATTTAATGAAAATGTCTATATCATTTTTATTTGATGATAAATCATGGATACAAACATCTTTAAGGGCAAAAAAATAACAAATCAGCTGTAACGGATACTTCAGTTTGGTCAACGTGATTCACAACTACATACTGTAAAAAAAGGCTAATTATGCATGCATAGATATATTAATTTTTAATGTTATTAGTTCATAAAAAATGATCAGCTAAGTAAATTAATTTTTTATTTTAAAAAAATGGAATGTCAAAAATTACATTCTGGCACCAGATGTGAGGAAGAGACACGGCGGGTGAGCGATCTCGCCGGAGAAGTGGGAGAAGGATCCAAATGTCATTTACACCAAAACAAACAAACAAACAAACAATCTCATATTTTTCCATTACCAACAATACCCCCATCTTCTTTCAAAATTACAGGACAGTCCCATGGCTCACGAGTCAGAACTCTGGTTCATGTAACAAGTGTCCCAGCAGAGCACTTTTGCTTCGACTTGCCCCTACTCGGAGCGCCGAAGCAAGAGCGAGCTGGCTAGAGAGGTCGCGCCAGAGCAAAAGGGTCTGTTAACCACTGGCGATTTGAACCCCTCTTTCTCTCTCTTCTGTCTGATCACCACGTGGAAATTTCGAAGTGCGTTGTCACACTGTTCACTATATACCAACAGCATGCAGACCAAAGTAACTGTGTATGATCTTCTCGTTCAGGTCCGCTCTCCTTCATCTCTATCTTTTTTCTCTCCGTTTGTCCTTCATTTCAGTGCTTTCTTTCTCTGCCGCCGTAGTTTTCATTGTAACAGCCGTATAATAGGCTGCTCTGCACCCACAGTTTTGATTCTCTTTTTACTTGTATAAATATTTTGTTCATAGAACTCGAGGTTGTCTTCAGATTTGAGCTTCTTCCCCTATTTCCTTGTACATTTTCTCTGTATGTGATCCCCATTAATCTCTTGGGGAAGTGGGTGTGGAAAATTTTCTTGAAATGATTTTAATGTGACAATCCAAATTCCTGCGTCTAACTTGTGTGTCTGTTTCTCTCAGGAAGCCTTTCGAGGGGAGTTGTTATCGTCAAAAAGTTTTCACCTTTCGCTTGGATTTCGATGGAGTCGACAATCCAGGTTGATCAGATTGATTTCTTCAAGCGAGACGGCAATACTACTCCACATTTCTTGCACCGATTCTTTCCGGAGAAGCCAGCAAACTCTGAGTCATCTACCAATGTGAAAGAATTAAACCTTTCCCTCAGTCTTTCTATGGGCGGGTTCTATAGTCAAAATGCCGAAGAAATGCCTTTGACGAGGTCTTCAACCATTCCTGGAGAAATTACTCTCGTGGCTCATAATGGGGTTCATTGGAATTCCTCTGCTGCTTTGGATAGGTCCTCTTCCCTTCCCGTGGAGGCTGAGAGGACTCTCGTGAGGTTTGGGGATTTGCAGACGATGAGAAGGGCAGAAACTGGTAGGAGATGGCTCCAAGAGAGGCTGAAGAGAGCGGCGGAGGCTGCGGCAGCGAAAAAGTTTGCGGCCGCTGTAACTGCTTCAAAGGTTCCTGCATCTAATGCCTCTGTCAACCTCATGGTAATGGCAAATCCTTCTGTGGATTCATCAAAGCATGAGGGTAACTTCATTTTCCTTTACTACATTTTTCTCTATGTTTCTTATTTGATTGATTGATAATCAATTTATGTTTTGCATTGGTCCTTTAATTATTGCCGAAAATACAAAATGAGAAGAAATGCTTCTGGAATGAGAAAATATCCTTGTGCTCCATCATCCTGGTGAACTGGCTGCCATATCATATATTGATGCTTTGACAGCTACCAGTCATATGGTGACGCTTTAACATCCTTGTATATGTATATTTCTGAATCAAATTCGTGTTCCTCTAATGTTAGGGTTAATTAGGAATGATTGCTTGCCTCTTAATACTTATGGTGATTGCATTAAAAGGCCAAGTATCAGTATCACATGGCTGGAATCGCAATTAAATGGTCAAAGAAAAGCCAATTTTCTTCTTTGAACGCTTAACATTCCCATGCTTCACGTTATTCTTCGTTCCTAAATGATTTTAAGCTAATTTATACTCGCTTAAGATTTTATGCAATTCTATTCAAGTTGGATCCTTGTGATGCTGGTGGTGGTGCGTAGTGCTGAAAGAGTAGAATAGAGAAAGTTACTTTAATAGGGAGAAAATAACTTGAATGGACAAAAGCAGCATTTATGGCATTTTTCCTTAGAATATCATTGTATAAAAGATACGCGTTGCCACAGTGGATAGTATGTGTCAAACACTAGGAATGGCAACATTAACATGTAAAACTGTTGTTTGTCGACCATTAAAGATTCGAATGTGAGATTTTTAATACTGCTTAAAGGCAAGTATGTGTTGAATGATATGACAAACCTAAAGGTGACAAGGTATCTACAAAAGATATAGCACTAAATCCCACAAGTTTGTTGCATAAGATTGATTGCATGTGGCAGCGTGACAACTAAAGAAACGACAATGGAAAAAATACCGTCAATTGATAGTAAAGCCTACTAACTAATTCCAGCCTAGGCAATACATGGTTATAGAAGCTTCTCCCTGATAGGAAAGAAGATCTATGTCTTGTTAAGATAACATGAGAGTCATTTTAGGTAGTATTTGGGTTGGCAGATTTGGATTTAAAATCTCACATTTCAAACCCATGCATTTGAAATTATTTATTTGAGTAGTTTAAATAATAAAGGTTATTACCATTAGTTAGTGTTTCAAGGTGCATATGGAGGTTTGAAATAACATGGGTTTAGAAAAGATTTCAAATTATGAAGGAATTAAGATAAAATTTGGATCCAAATAGGGGACTTGGCCCAAATCCAAATCCAAATGTATCCAAACATAGCATTAATTTATTTTCATTTACAGGCATACTAATCAACTATTAAGCAAGTGTTGAACTTCTGTTAGATCTCATAATTCTCTATTATTTTTCTGTGAGTAGTAGTATAAGTAACAAGTCATCATAGGACACATGGAAGTGAGCAGTTTAGTCGTTGTGAGAAGAAAGGACAGTAAAGTTCCCTCCTCTTTGTCTGGTGCTTCTTCTTGTTAAATATGTAGATGTTATCGGTGTTGTCTGATGCTGTTCATTGCTTGTATATGTTTGAACCACCCAAGATAATCAATCGTGGGCAGTTGAAATGATCAGAGTCACTGAAAGTTACATGTGTTTTCTTTTGCTGTTCCTTTATCAAGCCTCCCTTACATCGGACCTTCTCCTCAATGCTCCTCACCACACAAAGATACATTGATTTTTCTTTTTTGGGAGAATGATACATTGATTTTTTTTATATGCTCAGCTTTTTCATCTCTCTCTGTATCTCATGTCAATAATTTTCATATTGCTTTGCTTTTTCTTTGGATAAACCTGACCGTCTGGGTGTCCTGTCTTTCATCTATTGGAGCTGAAATAAAAACAAGAGGGCAAGGATATAATTCTAATATCAAACAATGGGTCTGGGAAAAAAATTATGTTTGCCATGTAATCTAAATAAATGTTCGAGCTTTACAAGGTGGTCTGGCATTTCTCGCTGGTAGTAAGACCACCATCAGCTGTGTGTAATTATCAAAATCATCTAATATGCTTGCTTCATTTCACTCACTACAAGCATTGATTATGTCAAATGCAGTCTCATGTCTGTGTTGCTGAATGACAGGCTTAGCCCAAACATGACCAATCCTATGCCAATAGGACTTGATGGAATCTGGACAGACTTCACTGTTATAGTTGTTTAGAAAACATCGATTAATTAAGACTTGATGTTCTGAAACATGGCTTAATGTTCATGACAGCAAAGCTGGGTTGAAAATTTGCCTTCTAGATTTATGTCGCTGGTCCTAGATTGATAACTTATGAACACTTGTGTGGTTCTGTCTTGTGTTCTTCTACCTCAATAATAATGTGATGAGGTAGAACTGCAGTTGACTCATAGCTTGTAGTGTTTCATTTAACAACTACTTATTTGCTTGGCTATAATATTTTGTAATTTTGCTTTTCTAGATAAGTTACCTACACTTCCTTTCTGCCACAATTCTCAATGCAGCAACTCAAATATTTTGTCATCTTATCATACCCATCCGAACCTAAATTTCTTTTGCTCTTTGTTTATGTTCTAAAAGGTGGGATCGTGAATAATTCATGCGGCATGCCCTACACAGGCCCAAGAGGTTTGGCTGAAGTGGGAGCCAATTCCAACATCCACACATCATCCAACAAGGGCAAAGGGATCATGTTTTGCCCAAAACCAATTACTACGGTTTTGCCACCGAGGCCCGCAAATACTAGACAAGAGAATCCACCGAAAAGGCCTAAGCTTAGACCTTTAGAACCATGCGGTCTTAGATATGAAGATTTGGCGGTCCTAAGCAGAATGCCGACTGTGACTACCACCGGAGATGGCCCTGGTGGGAAGAGAATACAAGGCTTTCTTTATACTTATAGGGGAGGCCAAGTCAGCATTGTCTGTGTTTGCCATGGCAACTTCCTGACTCCAGAAGGATTCGTGCGGCATGCTGGCGGCAAGGATGTGGCCAATCCTATGAAGCATATCACTGTCTGCCCCAACCCCTTTTAAGTGTCTTCGTCACTCACCCATCTTAGGATGTACAGAGGAAACAAAGAAAAATATGTATCCTTACATAGTTGTCCATATTGTCTGCTCCTTTAGGTGAAGGAAAACTAAACTCCAACTAAGATGGTTTTTCCTTCTAGTAAGAACTTCTAATAATTTTCTTTTACTAGATAGTTACAATTTCAATACTTGAATGGGCAAAACAGAAGACTTCATCTTGGAGAAGACAGTATTTCTGATGTAATGAAACTCTTGCTGGTATACACCATGATGTTATTATCTTGGTATTGAAGTTTAAAGTTGGTATAAAATTGTTGTTTATAGTAAACTTATTTTCTTTGTAAGATTTATTAGTTCATGGCATTCAAATGTGCTAGCGTGCTAGTGTGCAAAAACATTAGTTTTATCGCAAGTAGTATGTATTCCTTTTCAACCATCATTGAAGTTTAGCAAAGTTGTTCTAAACATGGAAAGTTGATGCACAATTTAAGTTTAGAAAATCACACCATCCTTATCATGTTATGAGATGACTGAATGATAAATTTAGGTAAATATTTAACTTTTTATATATACCTGTTTTAGACTTTTATTTTTTTTGAAATACTTGCACGAAATATTTTTATTTTCATCCGAGCAACTTATAATTTTTTTGGATGAAAATAAAAATATTTCGTGCAAGTATTTTGGGAAAGTAACTATAAAACTAGTGTCTATCTAATGAACTTGTACACATATTGGTGATTGCAAATTCGCAAATGACCTTCATTATTTTCAATAATGAAATTATATCTATAGAAAATATTGTTCCTTAATTTTTTAAATAAGACGGAAAAGGTGTTTGATGTTGAGACCAATGGCGGCAACTCTCATTTGAGGATTCAATCACCAATTGCCTTAATACTCAGGAATGTAAAGTATGGCAATATTGATTATTGAAAATGAATCAACCTAAACAATAATTTTGTTCACAATTATTTAATTGAATAATTTTTAGATTTACAGTTAGATTCTTCTTATTTGTTTGGATAATTTCTCTTACACTCGATAATGCCTGTTAACAAATTTAATTGAAATGAAAAATGACATAAAAAATCCATCATAGCTGTTGAAATTAACTTTCCAATATATAAAATATAAGGAATAAATTACACTACATACATCGTAGTATAAATATAAAAGTAGTTTTTATATTTTAAATCGATATACTGATTTGTTTGGCTAAAATTAAATCAATCCGAAGAAATTTATTTCCAGGCAGCTAAGTTTGAAAACAAGTGGTTACATCCATGAATTCAAAACAAGCTTCCGTTGCACTCTTTTTAAAAGACTGCTCCAATATATTCTGCTCATCCAGAGATGTAGTAAAGACAAAAGACTGCCAGCATAGAGTATGAAAGTTAAATTACGAATTTATATATACATTAATAATTAGAGCCAATAACAAGAACCTAGAGCTATTGGTCCCAAAAAATCTAAAATCCAGAACCTAGAGCTGTGAACCGAAAGACCTAAACTCTACATAAGCCTACCAATTTTATTATGAAGCGCTCATCTTTGAAATCTCTTCCAGGAGAATCCTTGACTCTGCAGCATAATCAACAGGAGCAACTGCTCGGACGGTTATCCTCTGCCTCTTCTCGTTCATATACTCGTTCTGAGAAACACTAACCCGGAACAGATGAGGGGTCCAAGTCGCTCGTTTCAATTTCATTTGATATGGATTATCTTCTCCCTCCTAAAATCAACAAAAGACTAAACAAGTTTAAAAGCATGTTCAACTTGCCATTATAATAATTTAAACACGGGTTACTGGCAATCTACCTGTGATTTTAGGCTATCTAGCTCATTAGCAGAACAACCAACAATTGCCTCAGCTTCATTATTGAACATTGAGACATAAGCTTCACCACTAGCATCAGAAACTCGTGCAACCAAAATATACCTAAAACCGATGGGATAAAATGATAAATTTGAGAAAAGGCTACGTAGACAAGTAACGCCTTTCACTTGAGCGCAGCTTACAGCATTACCTTAAAGTGCTTTCTACATTTTTCTGGCAGCCTTCACACCAATAACCAGACCCAATGGCTTCAGTGGCTTTCTTGTTGCATGTTGTACAAGCCCTATACCACATTGTCTGATCAGGCCTAATAGAGCTTATATGTGCCCTGACACTGAAAAGGGCAGGCTGCCAAAAGAATCAAAAGGGATTACTTCAAATTCATGACTCAACTGTTAACTGCAAATCCACTGAAATTGCAGAGTTGCTCGACCATATTTTCATTGAGCATTCATATCAAACAGTGGCAGGAATTAATATATCACCTTTTCCTCCCCCAAGGATTTATTCGAGGTTATTTGAGCTAGTGAAATACGGTCAGAGTACACTGATCTAATTCCATTTTTGGTTGCAGATGCGCCCGAGCCAATGGAAGCCATTGGAGCATCTTTACCTTCAGACTCGTACCTGTTAACAGCACGGCACATAAATAAGATTTACAATAGAATATCATAACATGAGAAATAGCCTTCTGAAAAATACTATACCAGCATCTAAGCTTGTTTGCTTCAGGTATATCAGGATTTATCAGAACTACACTTTTGCTTATAGTTGACAAGGAAATGCCTGAAATGGAAGAGATCAAAACACGTCAAATAAGGCCCTCACCATCATGCTATGCTATCCAATGAACATAAAGTTTTACGTACCCTGAAAATCCCCAACCCTGAGGGACTTGATTGCAACTACTGGAGATTTATCAGCAGTATCCAGTAATTCTTGCCCTATATTAGTTGCAAGTTCACTCCACAAAGACACTACCACTGTCTTCTTTCTGCAATGGAAAAGTTCATATCTTAGAATAATCAGTATAATGCAGAAGCACAAAGGTTAATCTTGATCACAGGGAGCAGTTGTATTTACTAACGTTTCATCAGCAATGGTAATATCACGCTTTGAAATACTCTCGTTGTTACTCTTCCTTCGAATGCTCATGGTGGAAGACACATTTTGAACAATTCCTATGACATCTGGAATTCATAAAAGTAGACATTATATATGGGCATCCGAAAGTTCAAAATAGATGTACTACGCCTTCTGGACAACACTCACCAACAAGGTCACTCCTGTTGACAAAAGGACCCAGCTGATCAATCAGGACAAAGTTAAATTTTGTTTCTGGTACAAAACTTTCTTCATTGGCGGCCTCTTCCACCTCAGAGTTCTCATTCAATGTCATCTCATAATCATTTTGGACGGTTTTGAACTGTTTGTTAGCAACCTTTAAAGTTCCCTTGGAAATGTAATAAACCTTCCCAAGCGCAAATCTGTCATAAAATTTCCTGGCAGCCTCATTAAACATTGTTGCTTGAATTTGGGTTCCCTGCATTGTTACAGCCAAATGGAGTTAAAAACTGCATAGATATTCAATCAACATTCAAATTGTAGCGATTCGCAGTCTAAAAGGTTTGATTATATGACTTGTGTATTACATCTTCATCTGTCAATTCCACGTTGAAGACACAACCTTCCCCTCTTGCATTCTTGTAGGAACGCATGTTGCCTTTGCTTGTTACACGAACCTTTATCGTCCAATTACCCTGATAAGGATTTAAGGAAACAAGAGGGCGCACCCTGCGTGTCATGGCCATCCGTGCAGTAGGGGCAATGCTGAAAGACAAATTCAAGAAGCGTTAAATGCTCAGAGTCAAACCAAAAGAGCTTAAAGATTGAGCCAGAAATTTTATTAGGCACTGAATCCAAAAAACATCACGGGAAGGCCTACTTTGTATGTTGTTCGTGAACAATCTGAGCGGCAGATTTGGACACTGTTTCTTGCTTTGGTCTCAAAATAATGCCAGCACCTTCGCTTTTCACCTCGCTTTTGATTTCACCCTCTTGCTTTGGATTCAAAAGCGTAACGGGGCACTCGCTCTTGACTTCTGTTTTAATTTCCATTTCAAGTGCAGGAGAGACCGATTCACATTTTGTGACAATAAGATATCTGCAACATAAAAACAAAACAAAACACAGGATATCAGTAAACAAATTAGTTAATATATCAAGTCATGTGCAAGGGGCATCGCAAACACTCTTACTTCTCTGACTTGTTTGGGATATCATTGAGAGTATAATCATCTATCCGGATAAGACCCAGGCTCTGAATATTTCCCGAAATGACCTGGGAATTCTGATTAGAAGGAAGAATTGCCCTTAACTTCATCTTCCCATCGTTAGCAGTGAACCTATAGCAGATAAATAACCAACAATTTCAAAACTTAATAGATCCCATGAACGATGGAACCGGAAATAATCAAACATCACTGGAATGGTGGCTGACGGATTTCATTTTCTTCGAAGAAAGATCACAGCAGAAATAAAACCAGTTCAATATAAATTACAAAGTCATCATCTTATTATCGGGTCAAAAGTTCGAGCATGGACCCAAAAGAGGGTGATTTCAAGAATCCCAATTTACAAGCAGCAAAATCAAACCATATCATGGTGGGTATCAGTCACTTGAATCTAAGAAGGGGGAAGGAAATCCCAAAGAAATCCCACGTCAAATGGAAAAAATATCAAACACAAGCATAAGATGAGACAAAAACTTGCACAGATTAAACTAAACAGACAAGCATGTGGTAGCAGAAGGTAAAGGGCGAAGACTTACATGAATCTATTACCGCTTTGCTTGAGATCCAGAACTTGGACGACGATCTCAGGAAGCTCCGATGAAGAATCTGGAGAGGGATTTGCAAGCAATATCGAAATCGCATCTGAGGTAACTGATTTAACCATCCTCTTTCAAAATAGTATATGATATTAGAGGTCTGGAGCTTAGAAGACGAATGAATCGAACTGTATTCTGAAGTTGAGCGAGAGAGTGTATTTGTACAAGGGGGTCTGGCGGGAAATGGCCTCGAATTGTTTTCCTCCCGCTGCGACCGCGTTTAGGCCTAAAAATTCACTCTTTCAAACCTGCGCCTTTGGTCCCAATTTCGCGGTACTTTTTTCAGCTGGCTTTTATTTCATTTTTTTCCCCCCTAATTCTGAGACCGCATTTCACCCCCTACAAGCAAGGTAACTTTTATTAATTAAGAGGAGAAATTACACGAGCAGTTATCAATTTCTTTCCCCTCCTTTCTTCTGAAGTTCAACTTTGGATTACTGTAATCGCCGTCGGCCAATCAAAAATAAATAAATATTGCGATTGCTCAAGTATGAACCTCAAGCAAATTGATGGGAAAAAAATTAAGAGCCAGTAAGTGGCTTTAAAATTTTTTGAAAAGTTTTTATTGTTTTTAAAAGTTGAAACAATAATTTATTAAAAAAAATTAAAAAATATTCATATTTTTTAAATAAAAATAAAAGAGAATGACAATTAAGAACCTTCTAAAAAAATTAATCTCAATTACAGACTGTGAAATTTTAAAATCTTGATTAAGGATTATGATCCTTAATCGTGATAAAAAAATGTAGTTTGTGAGGTGAAATTCATTATTATCGCTTGAGAATTCACTAATCCAACTTGAGAAAATTTGTAACGTATATTGTGAAAATATGAAACCCACTTGAAAATCAATTGTTTAACAAAAAGTACTACTTGAGAATTCACAAACTCAATTTGAAAAAAATTTTAATGTATGTTGTAAAAACATGAAACTCCACTTCAAATTGATTATTTAATAAAAAAATACCAATTTAGATAAGTCACTTTTTATTAATGATTTTTAAGTAGGGTTTCATTTTTCACAATATACGTTAGAAATTTTTTTAAGTCTAGCTAGTGAATTCCCAAATGATGTTTTTTGTTAAACATTCTATTTTCAAATGGGGTTTCATGTTTTCACAATATACATTAGTAATTTTTTTAAATTAAATTAGTGAATTCTCAAATCGCGTTAGTGAATTTAATTTACAAATTATATTTTTTTATCACAATTAAGGACCATGGTTCTTAACTGAGATTTTAAAATTTCACAATTTGTAATTAAAATTATTATTCTTAAAATGTCCTTAATTATCATTCTTCCTAAAAATAATTGAAACAGGCTAAAACAAAAGAAAGAAAGATTCAACCAGAGTTCGTCAAGACCATAAGGCGATTGGTCTTGCAGAAGAACGAAGAAAGAGAACGTCGTGCACCAAAATGATTGTCTGATGGACTAATAGTTTATATCATAATATTTATTATGTCGAGGATGTAAAGTTATTAATAATTATGAATTAGGCTTATAATGTAAGTATTAAGAATTACGAATAAGGAATATTAAGAAAAATGCTTATATATTATAATGTAAATATTTTGTACCAATAATAGGAACAGTTTTGAAATCGGAGAAGGTTAAAAGGGTCAAAGTAATAATATAGCCAAAATCCAAGCTTTTTTAACCCAAAAACACTTGTTTTTTGATAACCAAAGAAATAAAAACAATTCTAATCTATGATCAATGTGACCTGCTTACTTTTTTCTTAACCAGTCCAAGCCGGCAAAATTAAAATTTTTGTCGTAGTGAGAAGCTGAAAGTGACTAACAGCTACTTTCGTAGCTGATTTCTTGTGTGACTATAATATTTGTTTTAAAACGAGTCACGTTGCCGAATTCAATCAACGCTTGTAGTTAAAATTTCTTGTAGTTAGAACTTCTTTTCGATACAATCTGGTGTGCGTGCACTGCATTCTTCTTCTTGGATAAGACGCTGCATCCTTTTTTTAAATGCTCGCCCACGTAAAATCTGCTTTTAGATGGTTTAGGTTTTAGGTGTTTTGAAGATTTTAATATTGCTCTCTTGGCAAAATTTGCTCAGAGATTGTTGAATTGTAAAATGATCCTTCGGCAAATATGTTAAAAAAACGTGTATTTTTCTAATTCTTCCTTTTTAGATGTGAAAAAAGGTCCCCTTACATCTTAGGGTTGGACGAGTTTGCTTGTAAGGAGGGACTTTTTGGCTAAGAAATTATGGTGGAGGATTGATAATGGGTTAAGGTGTAACATGTGGAGAGATAGGCAAGTTTGGGGATTGAAAAATTGAAAGTTACAATTTTTTTTTATGAAGATGAGCTTCAAAGACCAATGGCATATTTGATTGATAACAATGGTCGGAGCCTACAAAGTATTTTAGCTCTATTAAATGAGGTAGAAAAGGAGAAAATTATGTGCAGCATTTACCTACTTATACTTGGGAAGATAAGATTGTTTGGAATGGTGCTGAAAATGGGATATATGCTGTCAAGTTAGGTTATGGGTATGTAAGAGAGAAAAGAGAAGTGGTCTTCAAAGATTCTAGTTCTTCAATTCAAGTTCATAATGAAATTTAGGGCGATTTGGCATCTTAAGTATATGCCTGATATGAAGCATTTTTTATGGAGACTTGTGATTAGTAATTTGACTACTTGATGTGCTTCATGGAGGAGGAAGTGCTTGGATGACCTTTTATGCAGGGTTTGTAGTAGTGAAAAGGGAACTAGAGAGCACATAGTCTTATTATGTCATTAGGCTAGGGCTTGAGAGAAAAATGGAGAGAACTTTCAGTAAGAATGGTTAAGGGTTGGTGTGCTACATGGTTAATGATAATAGTCCTTGTGAAATGACGAAGTGTAGGATAGCCCCTACTTGTCAATATAGTTGGAAAATTCATTGTAGATTTTATTTTGAAGGCAAAGATGTTGATCTCGTTGAAGTAAGTATGCTGGTTGCAATATCTGTGTGTGAATATAATGACTTGTAAATTTTTGTTTATGTGGAGAAGACTAGTAGTTGTGAGAAAATTAAGAAGCCTCGGTGTTTCATTGATAAAGGTGTGAAAAAATTGAATTTTGATGGGTCTTTTGATAAGGAAAAAGGCAGTGGTGGCATTGGAGTTGTAGGAAGGGATGAGTTGGGAAATGTTGTGACTAGTATTAGTGAGAAGGTGTTAGGTTCTTCGGCCTTGATGATTAAAGCTTTGGCTTTGAAGAGAGCTTTGTTACTAGTTAAGGATTTTTAGGACTCAGAGGTTCATCTAAAAGGGGACTATGATATTTATATTAGGTTGTTCTTAATGGTGTGACTGATAATGGTGATTGAAAAAGTACTAGCATTATTAATGATATTTATTTCTCATGGCCTTGTGTGAAGAATTGTTCGTTGTCCCTTGTTTACAAGGTAATAAAGTTGCATATTTTCTTGTAAGTGACGCCAAAAGGAAAATGGAACCAATTGGTCTGGTGTTATCACCTCTATATACCTTGGCTTGGATTTTGCTTCTTGTCAAGGCTAAAGCATTGAATATTGATGTTATTGGTAGTGATATTTCTTTTATAAAGAAAGGCATTGACTAATACTAATATTTCTCGTTGTGTTTGTTCTTTTTACTTTTGTTGGATATTTTTGGTTTGCTTGGATTGCTTTTATTTTCCTTTGAATTGGTTTTTGTCTTCTTCTTTTTTTATATGTTAAGTTGTATTGGTAGGTTGCTTTGAACGCTTTCTTTGGCTTTGACTATTAATGTGTGTATTTTTTGGGATTAATAAAATTGACCCTTTTTTGGCCAAAAAAAGTTGCCAATGTAGCCTCTTTTCCCCTAAAACCCACATAGCCTAATGAAAATAATGTGAATAGTAGATATGATCCCATACAAATTATTTTGTAATGTATAAGGCTTGTTGGGACTTAGGAATGAAATAAAAATTATAGCAATTTTAAATAATTTTATCACTATAACTATTTTTTCATAATTTTATTGAGATATATATATATATATATATATTTCAACAATTGAAATTGTCCTCAAACATTATAAAAACTTCAAGAAACAATTGGCCTTATTCACAGCCTATAATAGCTTGTCATGGGTTTTTATGTATTTTTGATAGATACATAGAAAGAATGAAAACGTTTTGAATTGATGATGCTTATGGGTATGGCCATAAAGTATAATTTTTGTTATTATTGCTGCAAGTTTCATTCTTCCTTGATTCATGGACTCAAAGTTAACTATGAGAAAATTAAAGATATTATACAATAATACACTAAATAGTATTGGTCAAGGGAAACCAAATGATTCCCCAACCATATGTGCACAAAGTAAGCATGCCATAAAGAAAGGAAAAAATAGGTTGTAACTAACTAGTCTAACTAGAGACATCATGCATTGCAAAAAGCAGTCATGCAACTAATCATTAATAATTAATAAATATATAAATAAACTAATCTATTCATTAATAAGATTGCATGGCATGCATTATGAAGCAAATGGTTCTAGCAAACTATGCTAAGAGGCTTATAGGAGCCAATGATCACTCGGTGATACCACATATATCATTATCTAATGCAACAAGTGAAGCAACAAAGCCATTTAAAACGAGCACTTGAAGATGGCTTTGAAGCTTGACACGATGCTTTTGAATTTGATGATTCTTTTAGGGTTCTATCTGTGTTTGTATCTTCTGTTTTGGCTTCTCTTGAACCCCTTTCGGTGAATGTTGACTCTTTTCTCCTTCTGACCGTCTTCACATTGTAAATAGAAATTTATTGTTCCAAATCTATGCAATATATCAAACTAGAAAATTGCAAGGATACAGAGTATGATTGATAAAAAAACTCACAAGTTAAATGCAAAAGACTTGGTGCTGCAATCTGAATGACGAGAAAGTTCGTGAAAATTATTGTTAGACCCATTATTATGATGAGACCCATCGATATGAGATGCCACAGAAACACATGACAAAGTATAATCCTCTGAGTTTTCCATTATAACTTGTCTCATTGTCTCAACAGCTTTGCTTCAGTCATCTCATCATAATCTTCATGAAACTTCCCTGCATTTTGGCTTATATCGTTGAACTTGTTTGCTTGGCTTTGATCACCCATGCTTATTTCATTTGACTTATTCACTTGGCTCTGATCACCTTTACTTGTATCATATAAACTGTTCACTTGGCTTTGATTGCTCATGCTTAAACCATTTGGCTTGTTATCTTGGCTTTGATTATTTGTGTTCCCGCCATTATTATTATCGTTGGTTAATGGAGGTAGAGGACCTGGCATGTTCATCTCACCATTTAACCAGTTTAACTCTCTTGAGAAACTCATATTCCCCATATGGATGCTGAATAATGATTCGTTTGATGCTGTGCTCCATTCTGGTGTATTTGTGTTTGTTCTATCGAATACATGGGATGGAATCCTATATGCTGACGATGTACTGGGTTCCTCTACTCGCTCCATTACTTGTACCGGAGGGTTTTGTATTACTGGTCTAGGATCAAGCATTGAACTGATCGGGAAATCATCATTGCTACAATTTGAAGGCAATTGAGGGACTGACATTGATTTAAGGTTTGAAACATCATCTTCATTGGGAATTTTAGGTTGCAATAGTGGTGATAAAGGTAAAGAATGATCCAGATTTTGATGATCCAAGGGGGTGGAAGATTTAATTTCAAGTCCAGTTGAGAGATCACTTTGATGATTGACGTTGGTTATTTCAGAAATTGGCAGTCTTTGATAGTTGATAATTTCAAGTTCACTGTTGATTGCATTACTTAGTGTTTCAGAGGGGTTCTGGGAGGATAGTGGCTTATTTTTAAGATTGTTGTTCATCGTACCTTCATCTCGTTGTTCCATTATTGACAATGCTCCATGTAGATCAAGGGTTGAGAGCTGACAGTGGATCGAAGGATGGTTTGGTTGAGAAATATATTAGGGATTGCATTATTTGGATCTAAAAGGAATCTTTTGTTGCTAACTTTGATGATACAGGCAATGAAGATGAGCATGAATCTTTTGCAATAATAGCTCTTGGATTACCACTAACTCTATTACAATGAACAAGTTCTGTCAGTAAAAGCTTCAAGTAATTCTCTATTTAAACATTCTTGCGCCGTATTTAGAACCAAAACACCCCAGTACGCAAACATAAATTAAAGGAGAATAGAGTTATGCTACTTGATTATATATAGATGAGAACAATTTTCTAGGCATGTGAAGATAAGCAAACAATTATTGCAAGCATATCGAAACCAAATATAGCAACACAAATTCACCACTTTGCTATAATTAATGTAAATGTGTATTTTACATTTAACCAACAAACAAAAACTACATTGGCACACATCTCAAAGAAAGTAATAAATAATTTTGATTTCAGTTGTGAATGTAATTAGAAAAAAGCACAATTCAAAGAACACGTAGAGCTTGTGCATATATTCTTCGGCCATTAACTATGTTGGTTTCATTAGGCTTACACTTATGTTTTTTTTTACTGTAGGTTTAAAATTAATGTCAAGGATCAAGACTTAAAACTTGTGAAGAAATAGCCTTAGAAAAAGATTTGATTTGAGAACATGAATTCAAGAAGATAGAAACTTACATGGAAAAACAATGAGCTAGAGAAAATGAACGATAATGAGACTGCCGATTAGACCCCTGAATCAACTAAATTTACAATGATTAGGAAATCAGCAGCCCCTAGGCCTCTGAGACTAAAGAAGATAATAAGGGAATGAAGAAATAGGTAGAAAAAATAGGAAAGGAAGGTGATGGCAAGATGGAGAGGGAGGGAGAGAATGTAGGTGAAGAAATGGTATAAGAAACATTTATATAAAAGAGACGGTGTCCCATAAATTTAGGCGTTTCATTCTGATACAATTTTCATTCATATTGCGTGTTCTTATTTTAATCACGCTTGCTTTATAGTTCATTAAATGGATGATTCATAGCTCTATTCCCATTATGTCAATTGCTTTAGTATCTTAGAAGATTTCCCGCAAAACACTCAAGAACTATAAGATTTCCATCTAAATATTTCCTTGAAGTTTCTGATTTAGATGCCTATAGAAGGCAAATTTCCCTGGAGGGATGCTTTCTTGTAAACATTAACATGAAATATTAAATTTATAATATGTCTAGTTATTTACAAGCTATGTTTAGAGTATCTTTTTTTTCCTAGAGTGAGTTATGATTTCGTTACTTGAAAGAATGGCAAAAAGGCATCACCTAGTTTACTAAAAGACAATATAATGAGGCAACTATCCAAAAAAAGCAAGATGAAATAGTTGCTAGGTCTATGAGTCAAAAGTTAAACCATGAATATAGTAATATGTGACATTTGTTGTTGTCTTGTGATTGGTTCTATGTGCTAAGACTTTTACAAGGTATTTAACATGAAAAAACCTCGTGTAGTTTAATTTATTTATTAGAAACTAAAATGCTTTCATGAAAATCAAATAAATTTGTAGGGAGGTTATAATGTTGGTTAAAAATAAGGCATGATACAATTTGCTCTTAAATGGATGGATCGAATTACAATAACAGATTGAAAAGGTTATCTTACCCACACATTTCATCGCAAATTAAGCTCTACTCTCTCAGCCTTAGATTTTACGAATAGATCTTCAATTGAATAGCCTGTGGGAATAAAGGGAAAAACTTAAATGAAACGTTGAGGGAAAAAAAATACTAAATATTTTCATGTAATGGTGCCTAAGCGACTTGGTAGGAATTTTATTTGAAGTCTCAAGAATGATGACGGCAATTACTGGGCAATAAACAAGAGTTATAGCAATTAATTTGGTCTCAATATTCTAGTCTCTATTATGATCTTAATTATTGATGAAATTTTAACTGAAATGAACTTCTCGTAGTTGCTTGTGATTTCTAATGCTTACGCTACTCAGCTTGTGATTCCCCCCTCTTTTAATGAAATTAGGCAAGTAGTTTTTGGCTTATCTAAAGACAGTGCCTCAGGTCTAGATAGTTTTCATGCACGCTTTTTCTAAAAATACTGGTCACTCGTGGTAAGGACACTTATGAACTAATGTTTCATTTCTGGAACTTTGAATTCTCAACAACTTCAACAAAACTCACATTATTCTCATTCCAAAGGGTCTTGATGTGCAAATGATTAAAGACTGAAGACCTATAAGTCATTGTAATGTCTCTTACAAGATTATATCAAAGATCCTTTGAATTATATTCAAAGAGTTTCTCCATCTTGTAACATCTCCGCACCAAAGTGCTTTTCTCTTAAAATGACTCATTTATGATAATATCTTGCTTGTGGCTGATTTTATGCACCAAATTCACATAGCGAATTCTTGGAGGAAGTAATTGGCTACCTTGAAAGTTGATTCCTCAAAAGCTTTTGGTCAATTGTCTTGGAGTTTCATTAAATCTATCATGATTAAAATAAGATTTCCTAAGAAATGAATCAATCCCATCATGCAATGCTTTATAATGGTCTAATACCAGTTGAGGTTTAATGGTGATCTTTTTGCTCTTTTTTTCACTAGAGGGGTCTTAAACAAGACAATCCACTTTAACCTTATTTTATATATTTTAGTTGCTAATGTCTTGTCTTGTCTCATTGCTCAATCTAAGGCCTTTAAGATGATTAACGGTATTAAAATTTGGCTGAAACTTCCCCCATTTCTTACTTACCATACATTGATGATTCAGTATTCTTTTTTTAGATCAACTCTTGTTTAAGGTTAAGGAAGCGTTAGACAATTATTGCAAATGGTCGGGCCAGCCATCAATCATAGAAAATCTTCTCTCATTTACAACACAAATGTTCCATCTAAATTCAAATATAAGATGACAATTTATTCAGGAGTTAATCTTTCGGATGAATTTGGAAAGTATTTTGGAACTTTGATAGATGTTAAGATAAATAAATCAATTATTTATTCCTAGATTCTCAACTCTATTTGAAGTATAATGAGTTCTTGAAGAGGAAAAATGCTTTCATAGGCTTCAAGGTTGACTTTAATCAAATCTATTCTATGTCAAGCTCCCAAGATTTATTTATCAGGCTATAGATGCTGCTCATTGATTTCTTTTAGGGCTGTGATGAGAATTCTAGGTATTTGCACCTAAAAAATAAGAATATTCTATTTCTGCCTACTAATTAAAGCATTCTAGGCCTTCGACGCATAGATCTAATGAACAAATCCTTGTTAGCCAACAAAGTTTGGAGAATCATGAATACTTATACTAACTCTTTGTTACCTACTACTCTGAAGGTCAAATATATAAATTTAAATTTCACAACCATTATTGAAAAACCTTATAGTTCGTCTTGATTGTAGAGAGGAATATTCTCTTTTGCTAACTTTGTTACATTCAATTTACAGTGGAAAGTGGGTTTTGGCTCAAACATATCTCTGATGATCCCTTATGGTTTAAATCAATTTTTTCATCTACTATTTCTTCTTCTTCCACACCTGATCCTATAACACTTTGTGTCCAAGATCTCATTCTTCATCATTCTGGTGGTTGGTTTGCTAAAGAGTGGAATTCACAATTTATTCAATCTCTTTATGATCATAAGGTGTCAAATTTAATCATGAACACTCCTCTTTCTTTTTCTCAACAAGAGGATCAATTGTGTTATACTGGATCTAACTTGAGAGAATAACTTGCTGAGAAAGTTTTTGAGGTGCTCGCTTCCCAACATAGAAATAATCCCGCTCTATTGATGAATTTTTCTTGCTGGAAATCTCTTTCGCACTTGCTCCTTCCTTTAAACCACATTCTATTTGTGTGGAAATTGCTATATAAAGCTCTCCCAACTGGTGAAATTCTCAGAGAGCATCACCTTACCAACACCAATTTGTGCCCTTTTGGTTGTCAGTGTGAAGATACTATTGATTATGTCTTTGCTTATTGTGCACTTACTCTATCCTTTAGTTTGATGGTTTGAACATTCAAACTTCAACCTTATAAGATGGTAGTTTGATTTTTTTTGGTTAGTGCCCACTTTGAAGCAACTTTTCAAGTATTCTCATTTTGATTTGATTCGGCACATGATCATTTTAACCAGTCAATTATTGATGTTGAGGAACTCTATTGTCCATAAAGGTTTAACTCCTAACTCAGCTCTTTTGTTAAGGAGTTTCAAGAGTCAATGTTACTTTCTTGACTATATATACTGCTGCCCTTCTTCTCCAGTACCGAGGTCGTCATCTTCATCAAGTTCACAACTGGTTGAAGCTCATCCTATTTTTAATTCCCAACTATGATTTATGAACAATCTAGCTTAATAAATTTAAAAAGGATAGAAAGCTTTTCCACTTTGTTGCAATTTGCCTCAATTCTCAATTTATTAATGGAAGAGTTGGCGATGAAATAGACTCAAGATGCACCTTAATTTCCTTTTATATGCTCGAGAGTTTTTTTTTAGTGGATAAATTCCATTTGTGCTTGTCATGATCTACTGTAGTTCGAATCAACAACATTCTTCTCCAACGGCATTCATTAGTAGCAATTTTAATACCATAGTCTTGAATGTTAATAATTTGCTCCAGAAATTTTGGCACCATCATTTTCAAATCATCCAAGAAGATTTATTTTACTCTGTATTTATCTTTTCTACTTGGTTATTTTGTAGCGCTTTTTTTCCCCCAACTTTTTCTTGTACATCATGTTCATGTTAACTTCTAACTTAATATAAAAAAGCAAAGAATTATAAGTTGTATTTGGATAACCCACTTTTGACTTTTGAGAAGTACTTTGCCACTTTTTGAATGTGAGATGTTGTTTGAGAAGAAAATAAGGAGATAAAAATGCATTTTAAAAGTATTTTGAAGATATTGTTAAAAGTGAATTTGGTGGATGTAAAAGAACGAAACTTTTAAAAAGTAAATTTAAAAGATGAGATATTATTTGATCACATTACTCCAAATTTAATATATTATTATTTTATTTAGAAAATATTGTCAAGTAATTAAAAATATAATCATCATTTAAATAATAATAATGATAATAATTAGAGATTAAATTTTTGGCATTATAGATTAAATAATTAATCATGTTAATTTTTAGCATTGATGTATATTCAATTATTTTTAAAATTTTGGTCCAATACATCAAATTTTATATTTTATACTTTTATTATTTAATATATCAAATTTTATATTATTTAAATTTTTTTATTAACCAACAAAGGTTTGTCTAGTTGGTGAAACTTTTTATTTTGAATAAAAAATTATCATATATTTTTTTAAATCATGTTAGTTATCAATATTAATGTATGTTGAATTATTTGTTGTATAATTTTTTAAATATATCAAACTTTATGTTTTTTATCTTTATTGTTTAACATATCAAATTTCATGTTATTTAAAATTTTTATTGCATTTTTAAACATTTTAAATATATTATATTTGTACAATAAAATTTTGAAATGTGAAATTTTATTTTAGATCTAAATATAAAATATAAAATATAAAATTTTACTTTAGATCCAAATAAAAAATTTTAATATTTTAATTTAAAATTTTTATATCATCTAAATAAAAAATTTAAAATCTATGAAATAAATAAAATTTTAAATTTAAATTTTTAATTTAAATTTACTCATCCAAACATAATCTTAAGTTGCAGCTGGTTTCTTTTATTTGAAAAAAAAAAAAAAACTTAAAGGAACACTAGTATCCAGGGCTTTTAGACAGTTACAGCTTTGTGCCAAAAGAAAACAAAAACAAAACACAAAAATCCTTTGGAGCTGATAGCCACAAAAGCCAATCGGAAAATAAGAGCCTGGCCGCGTATATTTTTAGACTTGTGACTGCATAGTTATTTGTTATTAAAATTAAAACTTTAAACGAACAATAATATCCAATGTTTTTGCTGTTGAATTCATGCTTTGGTGGCTTTTGCGGGAATCTCTCATTTCTAATTTTTCCAGAAATAAAAAATAAATAAATGTACAATAGTTTACTTGAATTATAGTATATCCCACCCCCCCCCCCAAATTTTTTTTTTTTCACTATACAATGCGAGAAAGAAATATCAAATCCATGTTTCGTTGTTGGGAAGAAATATAATAGAATGGAATAGAAGAGTAGAAAATAAAATTGATCATAACAAGATTATGAATTAAATTATATAAATAAGATCATCAATTCCAAACTTTATGCATCTATCATCACCTTCATTTTTAATCATTCTCGTATCTTTATCAATTCATAATCTTATTTTTAGTTAATTTCACTTTTTATTAATATGTTTGATTCCTTTTCAATAATCAAACAAGGCTTTAACCTGTCAAATTTTTCAAAATACGTGCTCATCTTCAAATCAAGAAAATTTGACTATAAACTCTTACCTAAACCCCTCCCTGCTCTGTCATGTTAGATATAGGCCGTGTTAATTATTGTTAATAACATTTATTGTTATAGATGTTACCTCTTTTGCCTTAAATTATAAGATTACTTTAAAATATTTTATTGTTCCAAAATATGAGATAACTTAACAAAAATAACGTTTTATCAGTAATGCTTTTTTGTGGGGAGAGAATTAAAATAATTGGTATGTAATGATTAAGTGTGTAAATTTAAAATTATGTTAAATGAAAAATATTTTTAAAATTTTATATTCTTGTTTTTAAAAAATAAGTTTGTTAAACGTCACTAGTATTGAGTTTGTGTCTTGTTGAGGTTTTATTTCTTTGGATTGCGTCCAATCCATTCCTCAAAAAATAAAAAAGAGATATACATGATCAGAATCCGCAGATAATCTCACGTTTAACATCGAATTCAAAGTAAACATTTTGGTTGTCTTGGGGAACAAGCTACATGTTTTCCAAGCTAAAAAAGCAACGAGTCCTGATATGCAAGTCAAAACCTTGGCTTGACTTTTGAAAGTTGGAAATTTCTTCCTAACCAACGTAGCCAATCAGCTTCATACGCGCCATTCATGTCGTTCCAATTTCCCTAACTACCCATATTTGGCACTCAAACTTTTATCGTTAATTAAGTTAGAAAACGACCCCTTTTTTCCCCACCTTTGAAAGCCGACAATTGTATTTTCATCATTTTCTCCCTTTCCACAAACGTCGCTAGTTGCTTTTAGATATATGCCAGACTTTTGTGACAACATTTCATTTACTGATTTAAATAATACTCTTAGTTAATCATTGAATTAATAAATAATTGTTGTCTCATACCCAAACCCACTTGCACGTTCTATGAGTTCTGTCATAAAATATTACCAGAAAAAAATTACATAAAAAAGAGGTATTCTTATAACAAAGCATTAAAGCAATTTGATGGTCTGAATGTCTCGAGCTAAGTTGCAACAAACTTTCAACTCATGTAATTTATCCCGTTTTAGATATAAGTAAAAAAAAAAAAATAAACCACCTCATGCTTATTAAAGATATAATGATTGAAAATGACTGCTCTTCTTAATTTTGTCAAAAATTGAGCTTACTTTCCTTAAATACTAATATATATTGCCAAAAAAAAAATCCAACTGCAGATATTTCCGTCGTGTTTTCATCTCATTAAATAAGGGCACGACAGAAAATGGCATGTTAAATCAAGTGGGCAACGATAGCTCCCACTTGTCTTATATAGGAGAGGCCAACAAATTTTCCTCGATATTTACTTTATGCACACATACATGTGATAAGAGGGAGCATGATTTTACACATTAGTAAAACCACATATTACATTTTTTTTAAATCAGAAGTACATGGAGGACGAATGTCGTATTTCTTCAAATTACATCTGCTTCGTATACAAAAGTTAGGAAGCAAAATCTAACTTCAGGAACTTATATGGCTTCACTTAAGCCAGTCTATGTTAATAATGAGTTTACTTTATCTAATTTAAAACAGAGCATCACTCATAGGATCAGGGACGGATAAACAGGGGCCAAAAATTCAAATAAAATAAAAAATGGGGCGAGAATCAATTTATCAATTTTTATAATTTTCTTTTTTATAATTTTCAGGCAGGGCTGGAAATTACGAGGGGGGAGCACGGTTGCATGCCCCTAGATATAGAATAGGATAAAATATTCACTTTTCTTTTAAGATTTTGGAAAAAGAGTGTGATTTTTAAAAAAGATTGTAATTATTCATCGCCTGTGACTATCTCCCTTAATGCAGAAGTTTTAATTAAAAGGGTAATTATTCATCGCCTGTAACTATCTCCCCATAATGCACAAGTTTTAATTAAAAGGCAATATATTCTAGGTGGCGTAGATAGTCCTCCCCCTTGCTCTACTTCTTCTTCGGCCATTCTATTCGTAATTTTTTTTTTAAAAAAAAAATTATTTTTTTAATTCTTTAATTTTTAACTCACTTATAATTCAATTTTTCAACTATGACTCACTTTGACTTAATCTCTCAACCATAACTCACTGCGACTTAATCCCTCAACTTTTGATTCACTTATAACTTGATTCTTATTTTTAATTTTTTTAAAATTTTTTTATCAAATAAAAGAATAAAAAATGCTTATATATTATTTTACAATACCATCCTCTTGTTCATTGATGTGAGATATAATTTAACATAAAAAAATTAACAAAAGTTAAGAGACTAATTTGTAAGTGATTCAAAAGTTGAGGGACTGAGTTATAGGTGAGTTATAATTGAGAGACTAAGTCACAACAAGTCATAGTTGAGGGATTGAGTTATAAGTGAATTAAAAATTAAAGGATTAAAAAATTAATTTTTTTTAAGAAAAAGAAATTCGACTCATTATCTTTCTTGATTATGAGAACAGTTACAGTGAAATTAACGGAGCAATCTTGTTTTTCGTTTTAATAATTAGTCCTTAGCAATGCTATATTTCAAATTCCAGGCTCAACAGCAAGGAGCTTAGTATTTTATCGTAGATTCGTGGCCACGACTGCAGCTCAATTTCTCGCAAGGTTCAACAGTTATTGTTTATTGGCTAGTCAAAATGCTAGTACGAGTCAAAAGTCAAAGCATTATTAAAGATGTAATGGAACTGCTTTTGAGGGAGAAAAGCTTTGCCTGCACTCTTTCGTTGCCGAGAAGCTTCAATTTAGACATCTCTTCCATGTTCTTAGCGGCATAATCCCATTTTCTCTTTCGTCTATCTTTTTCCCCACGAAATTTTCCCCTACTCTCTCAATTTCTCCCTGCAAAAAGCAGCTTCTGCATCGTCATAACTTCTTTGTGTCACTGTCTCGGATTTGAATTTGGTCGGTGCACCGGACCGGACTCTTCCCGGTTTATCGTTTTCTTTCACTCATTTCTGAAATTAAGACCTGTGTGTGCTTCCAGTGTCATAATTTGCCTGGTTGAAGCTTCATTGGGAGCTGGTGGGTGCGTCAATGAGCGGAGGGTTATCTTTTCTTTGCTGCGACTTTGATTGTGGGTTTTTGAGTTTTGAGGTTATATTTTCTGGGAACTGGGGCTGGTTGTTGTAAGCATCTGTTTACTCAATGGGAATGAGGGTTAAAAGGTGAGAGGACAAAAGTAGAAAGAGAGTTCTGGCATTGTTCTACCATGAGTTCATGTTCCTGATCCTTTTTATGCCGGGAAGTTTTACATTTTAAATCCACAGGGTCATAAGTAAACTCTCTTCTGTTCTAATTTCTTTCCAATTTTCTCGTGTGAAAGATTTTATATCATTTTTGGCTCTGTATTGGACCTCCATACTCTTTCTTGAGTCCATCGGGTTTAGATTGTTAAATTTCAGAAATCAGATCCTATTCATCTGCAGAGGGTGCTTTCTGTTCTCGATTTCTTTCTTTCTTTCTTTATTTGCTTGTTCCCCACTTTGTCTGCCATCTTCACCATGATGGAGGAACATCAATCTACCATCTCTACCTATGAAGGAGAGCAACATGTGATAGCTGCGGCTCAGCACATTTTAAAGGCATTAGCAGCAAGTAAGAACGTCAATGATGGCCTAAGAAAAACTCTCTTAGATCTTGAGACCCATTTGTCTTCAATGTCCAGCAGAGTTACGGAAAGAAATGGAATGGGTATCAGGGAATTTGAGAGGCGTCTTGAATGTGCTGAAGACAAGGTAATGAGTTGGGAGGCAAATAATTTAATGATATGGGATTCTGGTCCTATGGAATCTTCCGAGTATTTGAATGCTGTTGGTGAAATCCAATCTCTGACTCGAAGTTTGCAGAGCCTGTCTGTGAATGAAAATGGGAAGCAAAAGGAACTCGTTCAGCGAGCTGATGGAGTTCTGCAGATTGCTATGTCAAGGCTTGAGGAAGAGTTAGTCCACATTCTTGTTCAGCACAAGCAATTTTTTGAGCCTGAATACATGTCTTTCCATTCAAATAGAGTTGATATAGGGTTTGATGAATCGTTTGGTTCAGCTGAGGATGACCCAATTGAGGAAGTATTGCGGAGCGATGGTGGTTTTAGCCAATCTGAGGCTTGCGCTATAGATTTGGTGCGTCCAGATGTAATTGCGGATCTCAAAGTCATAGCGGATGTCATGTTTGCTTCAAAATACCATCTGGAATTCTGCCAGGCTTTCATTACTTCCAGGAGGCATGCGTTGGATGAGTACTTTGTTATTCTAGGAATGGAAAAGTTGAGCATTGAGAATGTGCTGAGAATGGAATGGAGTTGCTTGAACTCTGTGATGAAGAGATGGATTTGGGTTATGAAGATCATTGTCAAGGTATATCTTGCTAGTGAAAAACGTTTGTGTAAGCAGATTCTGGGACAATTTGGATCTGTTTATGAGTCTTGTTTTTGTGAAATATCAAGGAATTTTATGCTGCCCCTTTTGAATTTTGGTGAGGCTATTGCAATGGGAACCCGTACCCCTGAGAGATTGTTCCGCTTACTCGAGATGTATGAGGTTCTGGAGAATCTTGCTGTTGATGTAGATATCTTGTTCTTTGAAGAAGCTGGTCTTTTCGTTAGAAATGAGTTTCAAAAGCTGTTAAGGAGCGTTGGCCACACTGCAAGGTCAACATTTCTGGCATTTGAAAGTGCCATTGCAACTAATACATCAACAAAAGGGTTCCCTGGAGGGGGAATTCACCATCTTACCAAGTACGTCATGAATTACTTGAAGACAATCACTGGATATCAGGATACTCTTGGTCTGCTTCTTGCAGATGTAAGCTCAGTAGCTCCACCAGATACTAAACATGACGGCACTTCAGGCCTTACAACTTGTCCAATGGCTTGCCACTTCAGGTCAATAACAACCGCATTAGAATCCAACTTGAGTAACAGGTCCAAATTATACAAAGATGTGTCCTTACAACATATTTTCATGATGAATAACCTGCACTACATGGTCCAAAAGGTTAAGGGCTCTGAACTAAGACATTTCTTTGGAGAGGAATGGCTTCGCCAACACACTGGGAAGTTTCGTCATGAAGCCATAAGCTATGAGAGGGCCATTTGGAGTTCAATCCTTTCCATGCTTAAGGAAGACAGCGGGCCACGTTGTGCTTTAAGTTTAAAGGCAACCTCAAAGAAAAGATGCGCTGACTTCAACACTGCCTTTGAGGAAGTGTATAGAACCCAGACAGGGTGGTATATATCAGATCCTCAACTTCGGGAAGATCTACAGATTTCAATTTCTCAGAAACTGGTTCATGCTTACTGGACTTTTATTGGGAAAATCTCATCCAGCATTGGTGAGAAGTGGATCAAGTACACAGTAGATGATCTGGGAAAGTTGATTTTGGATCTTTTTCAAGGTTCTTCAAAATCTTTGTCGAACCATCAAAGTCGAAAGTGAAGGGTTTGAGTTTTAAGTGTGTCACCTCAAAGATTACTTGTCAGGCTTTCTTTCTCGGTGTAATCTATGCAATTTTCTTGTCATTAGCAAATGACTAATTTAGCATCTTGAAGTCCTGATCTGATCATCACACGAATGAAATGGCTTTTTGTATTGTTTGTAAATTTGTATGAAATTGGCGGATTTGATTTGTCCATGCCATTTGATTTTGCAGTCATATTCTTTCTAAATGGGGAAAAAATCTTCTGGGGAAGGTTGATACAAATGATCAAATATAACAAGTATAGGATGGCTCTGATATCTTAGTCTTAAACGTTCCTTAAATATGACAAAAGCGATGATAAGCTCTGAATCTCAGTTGTGAATTGACATGTTTCATGTTTAATAGAAAGGAGTAATCCAAATAACCACACTGATGACTGCTTGCTGCTGCTTTATGCTGTCCATTGTTTTTATATGAACGCAAGTTTTCAGTTCTCTTATTTTAGTTTCTTCAACCAAAGAGAGAAGTATGTTTAGTTCTTTTCATTATGATTTTTGCAAAGGAGCCTCGTCCCTGTACTTCTGACTCTGGTTGAACAGTTGCAGAAACAAGTAAAAGCTATTTGTCCTTTTACAAATGATTGTTAACTTGAAGAAGCCGGATTCTTCGGGCCTTTAGGAAACAGTGATTCATTGAATGTATAGCAGTTGGCTCATGAAAGGCCACATACTTTTCAGAGTCAACTGAGGGGTAGACTTTATCTTCATTTCTGGCATTCAATCACAAAAGGGCCAAAAAATAAACACGAAGAAAATTTCTACGTGTTGGCATATTACTAATTACAACATGTGCAATGTATGTAGTTAGACATACATATAGCAGACAGGAAAAAGAAGTGCCTTTTATTCACATGTAACAACTGACAAGCGACGAAGTCTCTACAACTGCACGGTGCTGGGTGGAATATTTCAAGACCTGGGCAATTTTTCTGGTGGAACTTTCTTGTTTTAATTTTTAGTTACAAGATGATGTCTTCGTTATTGTTCTCCGGGGGTCACAGGAATCTGATTGTGCTGCCTTTTTTTTTTGTTTTTAAGGTTTTATTTGACACTGATGCATTTAATGTTTGAAATGAACCGTACCAGCTTTTTAATATCAGGCTGGCCCTTGGATTTAACTTTGTGGCTCACATTTTCTCATTCTGGATGGTCGGTTCCTAATCGTCTTCCTCATTACTCCCTTTTTACTCTCTCTGTTCTAGAGGAATTTTAGACTTTTGACGCTCTTCTTTTACGGAGTTATTCTCTCAGCCATCTTAATGGTACTAATGGTATAGTGCTACTTTCTTTTTTCATGGACTTGAGGGTCAAGGCTCTTCAGAACCAAGAAAGTGCTATTTCTATATGAAACAGACAGATCGTGCAAGCTAGAGAAGGATATTTTGGATATTTTAGTTTTAGTTTCAGGTTTAGGTTTCTTCTTTGACCAATTCATGGACAAGAAACCCATATGTTCTAGAGAGTCATTTGGAGTGTGAACTGAACATGAAATATTTGTTTCTGGGGGCCAAGAATTGTCAACGACACGAGGGACTGAAAGGAGACACTTGCCGAGAGAGGTCACATTAATTCCATCTTTTGATTTCATCTAGATCCTGGATGTATTCATTGATGCAATATAATATGACTAGGTGCTCAGTATAACTTGTTAATTCAACTTTTTTTTTTTTTCCGGATAACAAAGGAAGAACACTATTAATTCCACAGATGCTGATAATACAGCACAGGGAGCACTGCCCGGTCAACGGAAAATATCTCAAGGCAAGTATTGGTTTTTTATTTGTAACACTTCCAGAGATAATCCTCAATATAGGCCTTGTTTTCTTATGGCACATGTGGTCATCTTTCTCAATACAATAGAAATCAAAATTTGAGGTGTATTCAAAGGTTCTAAAATGATAACATTTTTAAGAGGAAAAATATAAATATTAGTCTCTATACTTTTAGAATTTTTTGGCATTGGTTTATATATATATATATATATATTTTGTTATTTCAAATTTTCTAAATTTTATTTGTTTGTAATATTAGTCCCTATATTTTTAAATATGACTACAAGGACTTAATGGTGGCTAACTTCTACATAAATAGTGTTGCATCTTGTGCTAACTTGTAAAAATTATAATATGTTATATAAAAAATGGGTAGAAGTAAAAAAAAAAAAACACACCTTTAAACATGCAATGACAGAAGTTTAAGAAGGAAGAAGATATAACAATTATGATAGATAGGCAAAAAGGTTAGTGGCCATTTTAGTTATACAATGCTCAATTAGCTCATCATAATTTTACCAATTCAACAATATAATTAACAAAGCTATGCACAACTAAGCAGATTTAACCTTGTTAATGATAATAAAAAAATTAAGAATTAATATTGTAGAAAAATGAAATTTTAGGAACTTGGAGCAACGAAAAGAAAATATAGGAATTACAACTAAAATAGTTAAAAGTTCAAGGAACAATAATTAATTAATTATATATATTTTTTTATTACAAGGCCACGACAAGCTGTGCAGAAAAAAAAAATTAAGTCAAGTCCCATAAAAGGACGACACTCGGGGGGAACATTAAAAATTAAAGCATCAGTATTATTATTTGTGACATGTCGAGCTAGCCAATCCATACATTTGTTAGATTCTCTAAATGCATGGTTGAAAGTGATAACTCAATCTTTCATGGCAAGGCATTTGATCTTTTCTATTGTGGCATTAAATGATGATTCAGATTGTGTTTAGATCGGATAAGCACCAAAGCTGCAAATGAATCAGTGTGAACATTAACTTGCTTGAAATTGCTTCTGTAATAAAGAATAAGACCTTTAAGGTTATCAACAAGTTTTGCGGCTGTATTAAGGTGATAGCCAATATATTTTTCCTTTTGAAGTGTAGAGAATAAACGGTGTATTTCAAACCTTCAGAACCAGAATGTAATATACCGGGAAGTAAAAGCTGAGATCTCTCGTAATAGGCCTCAGATTCGTAAAATGCTTTCTCGTGATTGAGTGGTAATTTTTTTTTTTTTTTTGTGTGGAAACAATATCAGATGTGCCGATTATATGGCAAAGAATGCTCATGATGCTCAAGGAGACGCGTCACTGCTACTGAATTGCCCTTTGTGATGTTTATCTACACGTTGTTTTCTGATAAGAGGGGTACTAAGCTTTCTTTTCATTTCACCTGTATTTTTTTCAAGCTTTGGCTTGGCAATGTAAACCAAAAAAGAAAAAAATTATGAAGCTGGTCGCATCAATGGCAAGAATGTCGTTGTTGCCTTGTCTTCACAGGTGTGAAGTGTGAACACTACCAAGGTGCGTGAGTAGGACATCAGATCAAAAAGCTGAGCTGTTCGTCATAAAATGGCTGAGTTTAGTCGTGTACTCCAAGTCGTTTTGACCCCGTCCAGATTCCAGAGCCCCCACCCCCACCCCCCCTCTCTCTTTTTTTTTTTTTTTTTGAGAATTACCAAAAAACAATTCTTTGAGAGTTTGAGTAAATAGAGATGACAATGACATTTTAGCGCTGGAATTTTCAGTGAAGTAGAAATCCTCGAAGGAAGAATTACAAACTGATTCTAAGTTAAAAAAGATAATTATTTTTAATTTTATTTACAAGTCAAATTTTTTTATTTACATGCCAAACCTCTTTATTTGCAGCTAACTAGATATGTGAATAATTAATCTTTTTGATTAGAATCTATATCTAATTCTTCCAGCCCTGAAAGAAGAATGACAAACAAGTTTTAAATAAGAAAATTAATTGTTTTCTTAACTTCATTTATAAATCAAATTTTTATATTTACATGTCAATTTTATCAAATTACTAGTAACTAGGATATATGTAACTTTTTTTTATTTGGAACTTGTATAATTTTTAAATAAAGGGAAAATTATAAATAGATATCAAATAAAAAAATTAATCATTTTCTCCTGACCATTTACAAGTCAATTTTCCGTATTTATATGTTAAATTTATATATTTACAAGTAACTAGAATTTGTGGATAGTTGGTTTTTTCTCATTTGGGACTTGTACATAATTCTTCCTATCCTAAAAGCATCTACTTGTATGGTTTATGTTTTTCTAATTTAACTCATGATATTCTTAAAATTAAAAGATAAATATAAAAAATGCTTAATTGAAAAAGATTTCGATCAAAATTTCCAGGACTCCTGACTCAGCTCTCGGAGATTTTAATAAAGGCGTTCCGAATTTCTAAATTTTATGTAAACAGTGAGATTTTTGTCAATTTTTTTTATTAGTTGATTGACCAAAGCCTTTAATTGGGGGAGAAAAAGATTGACTTAAGGTCTTTAATTGACAATTTCAGATTTCAGGGTCCTAAATTATCATTTTTTATTACGTCCCAAAGTGTCATTTTCTCTTTTATAATATGTTTATTTTATATTAGAAAACAGTTAATGTCCTAATTTTGAAACAGATTAGAATATCTAGTCTTTTTTATACATCATTTAGTCTCTCACCAATTCCTATTAATGTTAAATTTAAATTCCATTTACTTTAATTTGATTAAAAAAATACATAGAACAAGTAGGCTTGACATTCTAACATTTCTCCTTTTAAATTTTATTGCCAAGGCACAGGCATAAAAAACCCTTTTCATGAGCATCATGTTTGTTCTGGTTGAAGAAAAGTTTGAACAAGCTTATTGAGACCGAAGGTGCAGCATGTTTCATTGGGTCTCACGTGTTACATAAAGCATAACAAACAAGTAATCCTGTTCATGTTTAATAACAAAGCTTATTCTACCAAAATTGGAGAGAACAGATTACGGATGTATCCTTTGTTGCACTCAAAGTTCAGGGCCAATGTTTGTATTTAGCCAAAGTTTTCCCATATGGCTTCTATTTTTTTTTCCCCCCAAATTCTATCACCCAGTATTCTGAAAAAACTGGGATATCACTGTCTCCCATTCAGACCAATACAAATTCTCGTTATGTAGGACCTTTATTACAAATAACAACCTTGCAAATATATCTACATGTTACTGTTTATATAAAAGTGACATAGCAGTAAACTGAACTCTCTCTCCAACACACTAAATAACGCTATCCTGTTACAATCCAAAAGCTAAATGTTTCCCCTTACTTTTGCCCATAAAACCTACATTTTGAATTAGCCACAATTTGGCCTCTCATTTCATGAAAATAATCACCAGTCATCTTTCCAAGCCTAAGCTTCAAAATAACCCACACAAGATGACAGCAGTTATACTCTCCACGTCTGCCCTCACACCACATCTCATTCATCTCGTTAAAGGAATCTTACTTCAAGAAGGAAAACTCTCCGCATCACAAGAATTCTGCTATGTAATAATAGACACGCCAAAAATTCATTATAATGAAAAGGCACAAATGTCTAAGGCAGGTTCATGAATGCCAAAATCCACACTTCTTTCTGTTCATGTAGAGCCAGCAGTAGTCATCCATCTTTCTGTGGACAACACTTTAGGGATCATGCATATAAAGCTCCTAAGAAACTAAAACTCCAGTGGAATCAGTAGAAAAGTATCCATCACATGACTGAAATCCTCTCTTTGATGCATCATGCATTTGCATATCTACACGTTACCCACCCAAGACCAGCAAATTATACTTTAAAGATAACCTCAGAAACCCACTGGTTTAACACGATGAAATCAACTAATAAGGTACATCATGTCCAATTCCTTAGCTGGGGATATATTTCTTCAGTTTTTTCTTTGCACCATATAGTTGTAATGTAATATATCTCCGGCCCCCGGGGGAACATTTATACAAACTTTATATTCAATCTCAGTCACCCTCATGACTGCCTTTTGGCGAGGCCTCTAATGTTGTGACACAACATCTATCTGCAACTATCCCATGTTAATTAAATGATTTCATAAACTATTACCTACCAATATATCTGCATTCCCTAATTACCTACCAATATATCGAAACCAGTTTTCTATGGGGAGTAAAAATATTATTGAAAAACCTATTGGCTTGCGAAATTATTGCTATTTCAATAGAAATTTTTGGTCCACGTGTTTAACAGAATGTTTTATATGCTATGATCAAGGGTCAATCAGTGAATTAAATTTCCTTGATTGATCATAAAGCCACAGAATAAGTGATGGGTTTTCATTCACAGATACTAAACGTGCCATACTTCAGATATTTTCCAATCATTGGTGAAAAATTGAAATAAATAAAATTTGTGACCCTGACTGAACTAATTAGTTGAGAGACAGAGAAAGTAAACTAATATAAAAGTTAAAGAAGAGATACATTGTTTGAAAGCCTCCGGCCAGAGATGACATATTAAGCACAGAATTTTAAACGTAGTATATATTCATGGAATGATAGAATATATTTCATAGTCAACTTCCAAATTCAAGTAATATAGTCAACTTTATTTAGAACATCAAGAGATTCAAGGAGCATTCTACCACAAATACCTCAAGCAAGAGCCTGGTTAAAAAATAAAACAACACTCCCAATGTTACTGAGACTGGAAGAGCAGGGAGGGCTTTCTGATATAGTGCCAAAAACATCAAAGTGATTCCCAGACCAGCAATAATAGCAAGATAGCATGCATATACTGTCATAAAATCGTACATTGCTGCCCTGCCAACCAAAACACTATAGAAGATGAAATCTCCCAACCCTAACTTGATTGCACCAGATGACGCCAGTCCCATTCCCTCTAACATCAAATTCTCATTTGACACTGCTTCTGCTGCTGTATTTAACTGGACATTCATCCCATGATCAAGTAGAGGAGCAGAAAGCTCTGAATCAGTTTCCTGAATTTGTCCTTCTTCCGCTTTGACTAAACTTCTGTCAGAACAGATGCCATAAGAAGTATTAGAATTAAAACTTGGATTCGAGACAGCATTTTCCATAACCATATTTGCTGCATTGTGAGTTCCATCCGAATTACTGCCATTTAAATTTGAATTCAAAATAGAATTGGCATTCAGAGTGGGGTTGGATCCATCACTCAGGTTGGAATCAGTTTGATGATTTGAATTCTCAATCCTCCTATCCCTCCATACCCGCCTCTGAGTCACACCAACCCTTGGGTCTACATTTTCAGAATTTACTGGCCTAGCCTCATAAACCAATGCTGGGATTTCTTCGTCTCTCGATATTGCAAGCTCCACCAAAAGCCTTAGTGGTCCAATAGGCAGCAGGACTGCTGCAAGATCATACAATGCCATGGCAACCAGTAGCACCCAAGTGGTCCATTCAGGTAACATAGTAAACCAATAAGCGACCAACACTCCAATAAGAACCAAGTACCCTTGGGTAATTACAATTGCCATTTTTGACATAAAGACGGCCAATACACCAACAACAGCAAAATTAAAGGCAACCAGAGAAAATGTTATGCAATCAATTGGGAAGCTAAAATGTTCAATTAGAAAGATTGCAATTTCACTACCCAAAAATCCCAAAACAAGAAAAGAAGAAAAACCCATGTATAGTTTTAAAAATCTGGTGAATCTGAAATAGAAGAGAAGGACCAAAACAAACGTTACAACAGTAACAACAACTACGAATGCCAAAGAGTTCAAAAGAGCACCTACGAATTTGTCCCAGGAAGAGTCTGTGCTGGTCTCATTATATGCTATGGTGGCTATGCTTGAGATCGATTGTGAAGAAGAGCTGCTATTAAGAATTGAGACCAGGATTACAACCAAAACCATACAGAGCGATACAGGTGCAACGATTCTAACAATTTCTTCCCCCATAGTGTCAAGAACGCCTGAGATCTTCGGATTTGGGCCATAGGAGAAGTCAAAGACCGAAAGGATTCAGGCTTTCTTCGAATCACAGAGTGTTTGGGCTGATGTATTCGCCGGTCAGGATTTCCAGGATCGTAATGTCTCCGGTTTTGGTTCCTTGGCACTGACTAGTGACTACGGCTGACTAATGGATTGGTGGAACCAAAACGACGTCCAGCAGCTTCCCTAGGAGACAGGCATGTAATAAAACGACGACGTATCAAACAAATGAGGGGAAAATGATAACTCCGGAAATATCTGAACACTTTCACTCGCATCTAACGGCTATATTTTTTCCCCATGCAATCAGCGGTTCTTAGTCATTCAAGCTGTCCACGTAGGCTTCTCGCATTGGAATACATTCATTGCACTTACATAAACCGAGTCTCATGAAAAATCCTGCTTAGGGTTTTAGCGTTGTGTCCAGTGTCCCCGGTCCCGTTTGAAACATTGCGAAGCAAGTGAAGGTACCATACTGCATCACGACGCTTCATTCAATTTCAGTCTTTTCTTTCTTTATATCTCTTCATTTTTAGCCCTGTAGCTGTGATATTCTTTGGCTTACTATTCGCTAATTTCCTTCGTTGTTATATTGTTTCCTCCCGAGAGTTTACTGAAATAGGCCAATGGTTGATTCAAGCGTGATCTGAAAGTCTCGTTCTTGCTTGAATCGAGTCTTTTTTTTTTTTGGTTGGAGGAACACTATGTAATGAATGAAAAGTTTGACTGATGGAAATGGAAAAACGGTTTAGGTATTCATTTTGTTGGGGGGGGGGGCTCGTGTATAAGGCGGTTATGAGTATCTTAGAATCGTATAGTTTCTCCGCTTACTAATTTTCTTATCTTGTTTGGGACGTGCGGGAAAATGATTGTAATATATTATTTTTGCTGGGGTGGAATGTGATCGTAATTAATTTGATAAATTTTTGCAGTCCATCAATACTTTCTAGAGGGTTGTGTTGGAATACTTTTTTTTTTTTTTCATTTTTCAGGTGTGAATTAATTTTTGAAATATTGTAGGCATCTTGCGTATTTATCAATATCAATATGATACCTAATATACTCATCAACGTTAAAAATCTTGCGCAGATTATAGGGATGGCTTTCTTTGGTAGAGTTGGGAATATACTAAGACAGGCTGCAAATAAGCAGCTCAGCTCAGAATTGCGTACAGCTCCATCTATTTTCCAGGCTATACGGTTCATGTCATCTGCTGCAAGTTCAAGGGTGTTTGTAGGAGGTGGATTTAGAATTCCCTTTTCATTTGCCATCATGACCCTCTCTGTATGTTTTCTTAAGTCAATAATAATGATACATAGATATATGTATTTGGCATTTCTTGTTGTAGGACTGTCATATTCCACTGATGAGCAAAGTTTGAGGGAAGCATTTGCAAAATATGGTGAAATAGTTGATGGTAAGTAGTTAGGATTTCTGTTTATTGTTTAACATTTTTTGGCTTGATAGGAGTTCTGTGGAATCTTTCGGTGTTAATTTTTGTATGGATCTCTATTTGATCTCATAAATTTTGTAGCAAGGATAATTATGGACCGTGACTCTGGTAGATCTAGAGGGTTTGCCTTTGTCACTTTCACATCAGTTGAGGAGGCATCAAGTGCTATTCAGGCATTGGATGGTCAGGTAATGGAGCTTTGTTACTCTTGGGGTTAGAGTCTCACCATTTGCTGTACCATGTTAATATCCACATTATAGATGTGTTGAAGCTACATAAGCTATTAAATTTGTGGATGTGTGTATCATGTGTGATATTGGCAGTTGCCATTTTTTCATGTTGTTGAAACAGTGTTTTTTAGCTCTATTCCATGCCCTTAGAAAGGTGGTAGTTGTTTCTTTGGTACAGTCACCATAATTTGTTTGTAGCACATCAAGAATTTAGACAGTATCAGCCATTAGGGAATTACTTCCTTACCTGACTACCATAGAAAAGTTTGCCTTTTTATATCCTACAATTTAGTTCTGTTGGTGATACCACTGTTTTATTTTTATAATTGCTTATCATTTTCATAGGATCTTCATGGTCGCCGAGTTCGGGTAAATTACGCTAATGAGAGGCCTCGATTTGGTGGCGGTGGTTTTGGTGGTTCTTATGGCAATGCTTCGTATGGTGCTGGAGCTGGTGCTGGCTATGGAGGCAGTTATGGTAACCCTCCTTATGGTGGTTCTGGTGCATATGGTGGCAATGCTGCTGGAGGTTATGGTGGTAGTGGATATGGTGGAGGAAGCTATGGATCAGGTGGCAATTTCGGTGACAGTGCCGGCAATAACTATGCTCCTAACAATTTTGGAGCTGGAGCTGCAGGTGGCAGTTATGGAAACGATGGTAGCTTTGCAAGTGGAAGCCCTTATGCTGGTGGAAGTGGGGGATATGGTGGTAACAATGGAAGTGGACCTGCTGCTGATAGCTTTGGAACTGTAAGTGCTGGTGGTGGCTTTGGGGGAACCAATTATGCAAGTGATGGGAACTTTGGGAGTGGAAGCACTTATGCTGGTGGCAGCAGTGGAGGCTATGGTGGTAATAGTGGGAACTTTGCAAGTGAAAGCACTTATACCGGTGGGAGCAGTGGAGGATATGGTGGCAACAGTGGGAACTTTGGTGTTGCTGGTGGTGGTGGAGGTAGTGATAACCATGGAAGTGCTCCTAGTTTTGGTGCTCCAGTCAGTGGTGGTAGTGATAGCTTTGGCAGTGCTGCTGGATTTGGCAGCAGCGGTAGCTTTGGCAGTGGTGATAGCTTTGGTGGTGCATCTGGATTCGGCAGCAGCGGTAACTTTAGCAGTTCAGCTGATTGTGGTGGCAGTGGTGGTCCAGGTTCTGGAAGCGGCTTTGCTGGTGGATATGATGGAGACATCAGCAGCAGTGATCAATTGGATGGCAAAGAAAGCAGCAATATAGGTGAGGATGTTGGAAATTTTGGGAACACGATAGAGGAAAACTACCGGGATGACGATGATGATGGTAATTTTGCCAAAAGGGCTTGAAGAAATCTTGTAGGGGTCTTAGATTTCTGCTGCTTTCTTGACCAGCCCTCTTTGAAGCTGTGTTGGATGGACTTGTGCCTGATGAAGTTTTTCAAGCATGTAATTTCGTTCAGAAATACAAAGCTGAGAAGAAAGTAATATCAAAGGCGATTTTTCTCGTCATTCTTCCTTCCTATTCTAAGAAAAGGGCATTTAGTATTTGTTGCGTAATTTAAGGCGATTTTTGCATTTGGCCACGTTGGAATCCTTAAATTTAGATTGTAAATCGATGCTTGAGGCAAACTGCTATACTAATAATTCATGGCTGACTTGGAACTTTTTGATAAGCCCTTCTAAAGGCGCTATACTTAATTTACTTGCCCCTTTTTTTCCCGTTCTTTTCTTGTATCGTTGTAGCAGATGCAGTATTTTTGTTCTGCTTCTGTATTGCCCTGGCAACGGGGTTAATTCTCCACAATTCCATCGTACTACATTGTTGGTTTCAGGAGTTTGCATAGTGTCTCATCAATGTGATGGTGCCAACGTTTGAACCTTGAATACAAGGGTCTAATTGCCAGGGTCATCACGGGTCTAATTATCTCGACATATTGTCTCATATGGAGATGTGGATCCAATCTTCTTGATGCCGAGTTCCCTTATCAGTTGTCATATGAAGCCTAAGCCTGAATTGGTTCATTGCCAATTCGTGAACTCAGGAGCTGGTTAATTTTCCGCTCTGGCATGAGTGGGGAACTTGGCTTCTCTGCACGATTTCATGGCTGGTTTGATTTCTGTTTTTAAAAATTATTTTTTAAATATAAAAAATGACAATTATTTAGATAAAAGTTTTGGATTTAAATATTTTTGAAATTTTATTATTTTTATAAAAAAGCAAAAAATAGACATCTTTTTTTTCAAAAGCAGGAAGCACTATTGAAAATTATGTCAGTTATGACCAATCATTATCATAGATCATATTAATTAGTGGCAACCACTATTATTAGCAGGCTGTTTCACTTTGAAGTTCAGTCAGATTTTTTAATTTTTATTTTTTTAACTCCAATCTTTTGTTTTGGCATAAATTTTTAACTCTAATTTACCACCATCCTCTCCTAACAGCAATCTGACCACAACCCATTGGGCCCATATGGCCCCACCAGCCCTAAATTCGGACCAACCCGGTTTTCGTGAAGCTATTTGGAAATGGAAACCCTACCCAAAACCCTGCTAATAATCTCAATCGCAGTCTTCGTCACTCTCCGCCCACGTTCCCAACAGCATGGCAGCCGCGGCTAGGCCTCTCGTCACCGTGCAAGCCCTTGAGGGCGATATGGCCACCGACGCACCCCCAACAGTTGCACTTCCTGATGTCATGAAGGCATCGATTCGACCCGACATTGTCACCTTCGTTCACTCCAATATTTCCAAGAATAGCCGGCAACCTTACGCAGTCAGCAAGCGTGCTGGCCACCAGACCTCCGCCGAGTCTTGGGGTACCGGCCGCGCTGTCTCTCGTATCCCTCGTGTCCCCGGCGGTGGTACCCACCGCGCCGGCCAGGGTGCTTTTGGCAACATGTGTCGTGGTGGACGCATGTTCGCTCCTACCAAGACTTGGCGGCGCTGGCACCGTAGGGTTAATGTGACTCAGAAGCGTCACGCCGTCGTTTCGGCTATTGCTGCTTCGGCGGTTCCGTCCCTTGTTATGGCTCGAGGTCACCGGATTGAGTCCGTGCCGGAGATGCCTCTGGTCGTGAGTGATTCGGCTGAGGGTGTTGAGAAAACAAAGGAAGCAATCAAAGTGCTGAAGCAGGTTGGTGCTTTTCCTGATGCTGAGAAGGCAAAGGATAGCCACTCTATACGACCGGGTAAGGGTAAGATGAGAAATCGCCGATATATTTCTCGCAAAGGTCCTCTTATTGTGTATGGAACTGAAGGAGCTAAAGCGATAAAGGCATTTAGGAACATACCTGGTGTTGAGGTTGCTAATGTGGAGAGGTTGAATCTACTGAAGCTTGCGCCTGGTGGTCATCTTGGGAGGTTCATCATTTGGACCAAGTCGGCCTTTGAGAAGCTGGATTCTATCTATGGATCGTTTGATAAGCTATCGGAAAAGAAGAAGGGTTACCTGCTTCCGAGGTCCAAGATGGTCAATTCTGATTTAGCAAGGATTATCAACTCTGATGAGATTCAATCTGTCGTTAGGCCGATCAAGAAGGAAGTCAAGAGGGCACCCATGAAAAAGAACCCACTTAAGAACTTGAATGCTATGTTGAAGCTGAATCCATATGCCAAGACGGCTAAGAGGATGGCTCTTCTTGCTGAAGCTCAGCGAGTGAAAGCAAAGAAGGAGAAGCTCGATAAGAAGAGAAAGTCTGTCCCTAAGGTGCGGTATTCTGAATTTCCTTGCTTACATTTAAAGCATATTATGCAGAATAGACTATTAGGTTCTTTGTTCTCTGCCTAACGGAATTCTTGATTCTAGCGAAGTACTAGATGATATGGTTGTTGAAGTTGATCTCATGTGTGAAATATGTCCTAGTATTCTTTGTGTAGAATGGTTTCATTTGCATATGATGACAAGCATACTGCATAAGGGGTAAAAAATTGATTTGTATGGTAAGTATTCCCTTTCTGCAGGAAAAATGATAGCAAACAAAATTGTTGATGTAGCGTAGCTTCATACATCCAAGGGAACTTCCGATACTTGTATGAATGGGAAGTTACTGAGTTTCCTGAGTCGTCTTGTGAGTGGATCTTCTGTGCTGCTGAAAGCTGAGTTCTTCCTTTTAAAATAGTTCTTTAGCAGTAATGGAAGTTGGCACGATAGTTATCCAATTTTAAACAATTTCCAGTTGAAAATGTTAGCTTTCAAACACTTGTTACCTTTCATATTATTGATACATCGATTAAGTCACAGCTGAAGAAATTTTCATCTTAGACTTCTCAACTAAAGACATTTAATATGGCATACATGGAAATGTTCCACATTACATTCAGATTCTCGTAGCATTGATAGTGACAATATTTTGTTTAGAGGGAAAAATCTGGGTGTTGTCCTTTTGCATGAATGTTTTGCTTATTGCATGGATAACTTTTTGGAGGTTTGATTTAGTTTAGTCATATGTGCTGTGTTAAACGCATGAGATCGCGTATTTTTGGGCAATGAATGGAATGGTTACACATATTTTATCAGTTACCAAGAATTCTGCATAGAAGTAAGAGGATGGGCAAATATAGTAGTTGATTTATGAATAATATTTTGCCGGATTTATATTTTATGCCATTAGTTCTTGCTCTTGTTACGCATTCTGAATGTTAAATGAAACTCGTGACCATTACTTGACTAGATTTACGTGGTTGGCAATTGTTTTAGTTAACCCCCTGTTTTGCCCTATTCAGGAGGAGGCTTCTGCTATCAAGGCTGCAGGAAAGGCATGGTACCACACCATGATCTCTGATAGTAATTACACCGAATTTGAGAACTTCTCAAAATGGTTGGGTGTTTCCCAGTAAAGTCTTGTACTATTGGGCGTCACTTAGATTGGGTTTTATTTCTATTTTGTTTTGGTCGTGCAACTTATTTGTGCCTTAAGACTGTAATGATAGATGGGGCTAAAAGTTTTCGAATAATAGAGGTGATTTGTTTTCCGTTCCTTGCATACCACCGTTATATTTTTGCTTCGGTTTCCGGTTGGATGGAAGAACTATTATATCAGATCGGGAATTAGATGCATTAGAATTTGTGTGCGATTAAATCTTAACGGAATATTTTTGTTGCCAAGTTGAATCTCGGGCTAATTTTAATTTTACTAATTCCCTCAGAAGTGAAAATTGTTAAACCTCTTAACTCTAGAGTTCCCCATTTCAAATCTTATAACACGTCGTGCTTGGTTGGTAGTCCTACTGACGAACAATGTTTTACCCTCAAACCTTAGACCATCTGGTATTCTAGACTTCGTGTGGCTATATTCTTAGGGCTTCAATTAAGTGCTTAATGGTATAGATTGTTTCTTTTATTGTATTTAATCTCAGGTTAATCTTAATTTTACTGATCCCTTGAAAAGTGAGAAGTGTTGAGCCTCTTGACTTTAAAATTCCCCATTTCTAATTTTGTAACACATCGTGCTTGGTTGGTACTTCTACCGATGAACAAGGTGTTCAAACGTAACCTTAAACCTTAGACCATATGGTATCCTAGACTCTGTGTGGCTATATTCTTAGGGCTTCAATTAAGTGTCTAATGGTATAGATTGTTCCTTTTATTATATCCTAATTTGGTATCATAATCTTGAGTTAATCTTAATTTTACTGATCCCCTGAAAAGTGACAATTGTTGAAACTCTTGACTTCAGAACTCCCCATTTCAAATCTTATAACACGCCGTGCTTGGTTGGCAGTCCTACCGACGAAAAATGTTTTTGAACGTACCCTTAAACCTTAGACCATTTGGTATTCTAGACTCCGTGTGGCTATATTCTTAGGGCTTCAATTAGGTGCTTAATGGTATAGATTGTTCCTTTTATTGTAGAAAAACTAACGCTCTCATTTTACACGGTGGATATCTATTAGCTGCAACCACGCGCTCACGTATACGTATGCCTGTTGGTGCCGAACCTTGAATTTCTAAAACCGACATGAGTTGAAAACTTTGATTTATTCGGTTTCGGTTTGGTTTTTCAAATGCCATGCCTGAATAAGCTGCACCGACTTTTGATAAAGATAAATAATTTTTATATTTCAATATTATATACATGATAAAACAAGAGCATAATTTGTGTAAAAAAATTGTTTTTTATTTTCCTTAAAGAAGCTAACTTAATTTCTATACATGAAACATGGTTAAAAATACACGCACGTGTGTGTATTACATGAAAAAATTAATTTCAATGGAATAAAATATATTGAAAGAAAATAGTAATCTGTTTATTCGTATGCGTTTTATCCAATTGTTTTAATTTTAAATTTTGTTCCTTGCTACTCAAAATTTGAGCGGGGATATTTTTAATATGATAACTTAAAACAATAACCAGAGACCAAATTGGCTTAAAATGGATTTAATGGAACCGAAGAAAACCAAAATACTCGCCCCTGACTATGTCCAGATAAGCTCCTATTAATACAACCTTGTTCTTGTCCTTAGATGAATGTGCTGGGTTAAATATAACTTTCCTCTGAGCGTTCGCAAATGAGGGCAGATTCCCCAAAATATTCCGGACATTTTGTAACGAACCTTAGCTATAGGGCTACCAAAGACGGTGGAGTAAATGGAGTAAATAGTGAATTTGACCCGTCTATATGAGGCTTATAAAATCGAAACTCACTTCTCTTTTCCTCTTTTTACATCAAAGACGGTGTTTCAAGAATTTAGAGACTTACAAAGCAAGAGCGTCTGACTGATTTAGCAGAATAGAAATGAATCCAGGTAACTCTGCTGTATCGGTAATTCATATCAAATATCAACGTTCATCCCCATCCATAGAATACAATAATTTTTGTACATTCTTAAAAGCAGGAGATCCTCTCTTGGTCCTGTCAACAATTTGTCTTATCACCTGCCTTTCCATCTCATTGTCACTACCATAATTTTCATCTCTTGTAACAGCTTTTAATTCATAAACATCAGGGCTTTGCCCTTCTAACATGTTGACCCCGCTAGAAGAGAGTTCTAAAAATCTCTCCCCATTGCCTGGGAAGAAAGTTACAGACCTGTTTGTTCCACCCCATTGAATTCCAAACACTCCTTCGTCGTCATGGGTGGTTGATGGTGAATTCTCTTCTGACTCATCTGTTTTTATTAATTCTTCATAAGCTTCCTTGTAGGCATCAAGTGCTTCACCTGATAAATTCATAACTAGAGGCTGGGCCAAAGGGTCACAGTCATCATATGTCAATGGATTTCCTTCCCCATGGCTACTGAAGTTTCTCAGGTAACATCGTTTGTGCTCTGATTCCATAAGCTGTAATTTCCTCTGGCTATTTTGAAGGGCAATTTCGAGTTCCTTCACATGCTCTTCGAGCCTGGATTCAATAACTTGATGCAATCGTAGACTCAATTCATGAGGCGAAACGGCATAGTTTCCAGGGAGAGGTGTGACACCATCACTAGTACTCTCCTCCGGATTTGGTGGGGGAAAGGCTTTACCCTGGACCTTGTCAGTTCGCAACTCACCTCCAGCAAAATCTGCAACAAAGTCTGGGTCAACCTGTGGGAATAAATGCATCATTAACATTGCATCATCATTACAATTATTCGCAACTCCAGAATAATTGTAGACAATTTTCTAAAATCTTATCATGTTTACTTTTCTCTGTTTTCTTTCTTTCTTTGATACATTGTGAGGATTCGCACCCTTAACCTCTACGACACCCCACCCTTCGTACTTGAGCATCCGAAGCATCAGATCCTTAAAAGTGAGAAAGGAGCCTCTAATAACAGGCTACGTTAAACTTGAAAAGATAACAAAAGTAATAAGCCAAAATAATGCTCCTAAACGTCAGCTTAAGAAATGATTTCAGAAAAGACATAAAACAGATAGTGCGATGGTTCAGCAGTTCAGCATCTATGGGCACCATTTATCTTTCATGTAAAAGATCAGTCAAGGAATTGCATTACAGAGATTTTTTGATTAAAAAAAAAACTGAATGATTTACATCACAGAGATGAAAACAGGGAGGTTTTATCACATTTTTCCCAGATTGTCCCTCATAAATGTAATATTTATTTTCACTAGACAAGTATGTTTCATCAATTACAGGGATAACTTAGTCCAAATTTTTTAATCTTAGACATGATTATTATACTTAATCAACTTTCTTAAACTATGTAAATTGGTTATTTTCTCCTATATTTGAAAACGGAGGGAGTACAACAGAACCCATCACAACAGACATATTCTAAGATGATTAAAAAAGCCATTCTAAACAAAGTTATGTTGTGTGACTAAAAAGTCCATTGCTACACTCGACCGGGGGAAAAAAAGGTTCACAGTTAAACGTTAACGCTAACCTCAACAAGCTCAGAAAGCCTTCTCTCCAGGCTAGAATTCATGTTCAACCCCAATCTCTCCAGTTCAGCTTCAAGCTCAGCTTCAATTTTGCTCATAGGTTCTGAATTTTCTTCTTCCTTTTTATGGTACAGTCCTCTGCAGTCATCTCTCAGAGAGTTATCCACATGTTTCTCAGAGGAAAATCCATTTGGCTCCCTATTATAGGAGGAATGGTCACAAATATCCTGTGAACCATAATTCTCGTTACTCAACTCCTTCACTGTCATTGAATCTTTCATTTCAAGCTCTTCTTGTAGATCTTGAACTAAGTTTTCTGTCTGCTTCAGCAAATCTCTTAATTTGTCCGCTTCTCTTTTATTTGTCATGATGGAAATTACTATCCCAAAAGAAAGCCCAAGACTGAAGAGAAATGTCACGTCTGAAGATTACGGAAATGTCAGTAAATGGAGTAATTACAGAAATACATTGCAGGACACAATCAAATACCCCGAGACATGCTATCAACCTATAAAAAATAAATTGTGATTAAAGAGCTAGCTGAGACAACAGTTTAATATACGAATGAGACTTGAGAAACTGAATTTAAAATTCTCAGCTAATTGGTGCTGGTAATGCCATTTTGGGATTTGAAGCATGGGAAAATTACAGTTCAGGAACTAATGTTGGAGATATTTATACTAAAGGGCCTTAAATTTATTAATTTATAGTGGAGGATACTATGCCAAAGACTTTTTAAGTGGTCAAGAATATAGTACTCCCTCCATCCCAAATTATAAGATAATTTGAAACAAGATTACACATATCAATAAAACTCAATAATAACACCTTACAAACTTACTTTTTCAAAATAAAACTATAAAATTCCAAAAATGACCCTACACACTCAATCATTACTCCCTCCGGTCCTTATTATAGAACACTTTCAACCATTTCACACATCTTAAGAAAAGTTAGTTTTTTTTCATGATATTATGAAAAAATGAGATGTACTTTACATTAAATACCTTCACGTTAATTAAGAACGGGTAAAATTGAAAAAAGTAGTTTTATTATTACAAGGTGTTCTATATTTTGGATAAAAAAATTACTTTTAAAAGGTATCTTATAAATAGGACCATAGGACCAAAGGGAGTATACTATAATATCATTTCAATTCTTTCTCCACTTGAAGGGTAGTATCGAAAAAACATCATTAATGACACCTTATTTTTCTCAAATTGTCTTATATTTTGAGACAACAAAATACCCCCAATGTTGTTTTATAATTTGGGACAAAGGGAGTAGTTTAGGACTCCAAGAGTCCAAGTTAAAATCTTTTTATCCTGCGGCCCAAAAAATGTAACGTTCTTTCTTTCTTTCTGGAGGGTGGGCATTCTGATTTTCATTACAGCACAAGGAAAATGCATTTTTACAATGTCTTAAAATATAAATTCTCAAGAGAGGTTTATGGATAGAGAAACTGAATCTACGCTCTCCACCCTAAAAGAGTTTAGACCAGCTGAAAAACCTTTTAATTTTAAATTAACATATACATATTTTTCCCTGCTGCCCACGGGCTATATCTATATGAAAATAGAAACAAACTTTATAGCCTATACTACAAGAGCAGACTGATTAAGTTTCTAAAAAGTTCAAAGGCGTTTTAATATCCTATTTCTTAGGCAGTTAACCCTCCCTTCTCTAATCTCTTGAACCAAAAAAAAAAAAAAAACACAGGCATAAATGACGAGCAAAGAAAAAACTTGGGAACAATACCTAATTGAGCATGGATGTTTTTTCTACTGAAAGCACTGTCAGAAGAGCTCAATCTTTCACTTCGCAATTTTCCTGCCCTATGTTTCAGCTTCTTATGATCATCTAAAGATCCAAATTTTGTTAGCGAGGGAAACCCAAGTATACTACCATCATGGTCTTGATGGGCTCCCTTAATCCACTTATGTTCCTTCTTTCCAATCAATGTACTGAAAGATTTATGACTTGATCCACTGATTATTCGGCTTCCATTACTTACAAGAAATGACCTTGTAGGTGTAGGAGGTGGTGGAAGAGAGCTTAAGACATATTCTTCCATCTCTGAGTGTTCCTTGCACAGCTGAGCCATAAGGCAACTTTCTAAGGAATTCAAGGGTCTACCAAAGTGTCCATAAAAATGCTTAGTCTTGAGACAAGTTTTATTGCCAGCAGAATGATGGTTAGAACCCACTTCTCCTGCTGACGAGTCAGGAAACCTGAAACCATAACTGCCACCAACATCATAGATTTGCTCATTCCCATCTTCAATATCATTCAAGTTCTCATTTGGTGACAAGGACAGTGGCAAGTTTGATATTGAAAGTGCAATGCTGTCATCGTGCATCCCAAAAGGTCTTGTCCTTTCACTAAGCAGCATTTTGTTAGAAGTTATTTCCATTGTCGACATACCGTGCACTGAGTTCCCTTCTCTAGGTTTTTCTTTGGAAACCTTTTGTTCTGAAGACACGTCTTTGTTTAACTTGTCTCTCTGCAATTCTCTGTGAGAGGACTGGCTTGGGGACTCAAGATTCTCAAAATTGGGATCCTCCGAAGATGATTGGCATGAACTATCACTATTCTTTAAATTTCTGTTCCAAAATAAATAACCAGCTCCCGCAGCTGCTGCAACAAACCACAAGTCCATTTTTTCTCTTCCTCTCACAAAGCAAGAAAACACTAGCCAAACTCCACAACGTAAATTGTCGTCTTTCAATCAATTATTAGCATCAGAAAGCAAACTTTTCATGAATTTTGAGAAATTTCCAACAACTGTTCAGCAAATGATAGGTCAGAGAATACAACATTGCAAGCCACATCCAGAGAAACAAGACCACAGTCCTTTATTCACGAAATAGACTTTCCTCCTTCCAAGTATCATCATGAAACACACAAGAACTCTATCATTCATTAATCAAACTACAAGAAACTATCACAAAAATTGAGAAATAGGCAAACCGTTATCCTTAGCCCCGTAAGTCATTGCATTGACAACGTATCCCTCATTCCCCCAACCACAAAAGCAACGGTAGTTAGAAAAGTTCTATCAAGTGGGAATCACCAGATAGAAGGAACAAGAATAATCAAGATATGATATTTATAAGTTTTTGTGAACCTCGGAAGCATCAGATATAACCAATGTCAGAAACAACCACCACCTTGATAATTACTTTCTTCGGAGAGAACGCAAAGGACTGTAACACCGATGAACAATCTGAACTGTCTGAAAGTAGCTTCCTCACGGCAAAATTTATGCAACAGGCGAGCCCCTTATGAAAAACAGCTCTTGCTGCTGTTTCTCCAGCATTAAGGAGAAGGGAGATTAAAAAAAATCTATACTTTTTGAAGCAAATCTATCACGCCCAACATTCCCCTACGATGTTAGTCGAAGCTCGAAGGTTTGACGATACCTCCATTGGGAAGAAAAAGACCCGCTCCGCCGTTATCTCCAAGAAACAAACGCCTGCACTGTACTGAGCGTCGAAGCCAGTGATTTTCACAGATTAATGAAGGAGTCGAAAATGTCATAAATATTTTTTTTTTACAAGAATATTTCTCAAGGGAAGTTTTCTCTGATGCTCCCTCCATTTTTAAATATAAAAATAATTAATTTAGGTAATGTAAAAAATTAATTAAATATAATAATTATGTTTAAAATTAAAAAATTTAAATTGAATTATCCTTGAAATTAATAAAAAAATTATTTAATGAAAATAAATATTAACTTAATGAGAGAATTTAAAAAAAATGTAATAAATATCTTAAGGCTTCCATTAAAAATTGAAAAAGGAAATTCCCTTTTTTCTGTTCTTCCTGTTTTGCCCTCCATTCCTCCCATTTTGCCAGCAGAAAGTATTCTTTTTTTTTCCCCCATCTTTCTCTTATATATAATTTTGTTTGTTTATACATAAACTTTGCGAAAATATCAGAGAAATGGATGTCCAGGCGTGATTGTTGGACAAGGACGTACCATGAGTCCAAATGTAATTGGTGAGATTCAGTTAATCATAGACCCAATATGTTTATTTGCCCACAAAAAAAAAAGACCAAATATGTTTATGCTTTTTTATAATGATATACTCTCCTCTGAATTATAATATAAAATATTTTTTATATTTATTTTTTTAACTATACCCCTATATTATTTATTACTCCTTTTAAAAGATTATGCTTTAAAATTTTAATTATTATTATCAAAACTCTCATATTCTAGTATTTAATGAAGGTATAAATGAAAAGATATGAATATTTTTAAGAATTTAAGATTTTAATTAATATTGTTCGTGAACTCTGAATTAATTAACTATGATTTATATCGTAGTTCTGAAGAAATATTTATGCTTTTAGCACACTAATGAAAAAATTATTACACCTATTGGCAAAATGAAAAAAGAATAAATTAAATCATGGATAATAAACATTAGATCACATAAGAGATCTGACTTAATAACATTAGAGGTGAGCAAAATCAAATTAAAACTAAAAATCAAATAAATTTTGTCTATTTAATTTGATCTATTCAATTTTCTTTTAAGGACAATTTTAGTTGATTAATTCGATTCGATTTGAGAATTTTTGAAACAAATAAACCGAACTGACCGAATTATACATTTTTTATATTTTTAAAAATATAAATAAATTTTCATTTAGGTGAGTAAAAAACATCTTTCTACCACATGCAGTAGTAGTATTTTTTTGTTTAATATGATATTCTAATTTTTATTTTTATAATTTAGTTTTTAATACAATAGTATTGAGTTTTGTTAATTTTTTCATGAATGATAGTATAAAATTGTCATTTTTTTGTTGGACCTTTAACATCAAGAGATAAAAATTGGATAGAAGAATATATAAATAATTAGATTTCATAAACCCAAATCAAAGCTTTTAAATTAAATAAATCAATTGAATCAAACCATTATAATTCAATTCAATTTTATTTCTGTTTGATCACGTGTTTCAATTCAATTCAATTTAAATTTTTTATATAATTCAGTCAATCAATTTTAAAAAAAAATAAAATTGAACAAATCGAATGCTCACTGTGTCATAAAAGTAGTTTTCTTATATGCAATAGCCATCAAGTTTTTTTAAAAAAAAAATTGAGCGAGGTGCAATATAATTTTTATCAACAAAGTGCAACTACATAATTTACACTCGTCGAACTGAGTGTAAATGCATGTATAAAATCCATAGGTCTCACTAAAAAAATAGTCTTTCCGCGTTGACAAGCGAAAATGAAAGCAACACGTCAATAAATAAATACATTTATTGTACCCAAAAAATAAATAACTAAATTTACTTGCTCTCACAGATCATTGGGACTAAACATAAGGGTATATTTATTTTAGTTTTAATTTCTAAAACTAATACTAGATTGAATGGAGTGATTACTCTAAGAAGATCACATCAAATCTCTTTCTTCCACGTCCCAACTTAAGCGAACAAACGGGCCCAAATGACAATCCAGCAACTAGTCTTAAATTTGTTTGTTAGCAAATTTGCTCACCGTATTATCGACGTGAAACCACTTTAACAAAGTATATTTGACTTGTTAGCCACACAAAATAAAGTATATTTGACTTATGGCTTTTGATTCAAAACGACAAGGTGGGTAATGGTAAGTAGTATTAATACATGGCGCCTGCTTTCCCTGACTCTCCTATGGACCCTAATATGGACTCGGTTTCTATCCGTTTCGTTACATGCATGAAGAGAGTAAGAATTCAAAAATTAATTAAATAGTAAACGAGATTATTTTTATACAATAGTGATTTTATTACTTTATGGTGTGTATTTTAAGTAGAGATACAAGCATCGAATATTTTCATTCTTTTTAATGCCTAACATCAGTTTACCTTCTGTCAACATTTTTATTCATTGATTCATAATTGCCCCACCCGGTGCTTTTTCTCTGACATGGGATTCGGTAAATGTTCTTTTCATACCTAGATAACATGGACACCCGAATCAATCATATCAAACTGATCCAAATTATATTCAAGATTCAGTTGGTTCAGTTATATTCACTGACTTGAAAAATCTCTGAACTGTGAAAAGAAAACCGAGCATATACTATCATAAGACTTTTCGGCTAAATTCAGGCCAATTTCATTTCTTTGAACATCTTTCTGTTGGGCCAAGAGTTTTTAAGCGTTTATGTAATCATATTTTCTTACATAGTTTGCAATAAAAATAGGAGGCAAGAACAACGATAAAAGGATGGAAAAAGAGAAGGGGTCGGGTGGGGAGATCTATATGAGCAAGGAAACTTATTGGCTCTCAGAAGTAAGGGACCAGCTGTTAATTTTCTTGCAGTTACATAATCCTCCATGGAGAGGAATGCCATAACCTTAGGGGGAAAACACAAAAGCACTGTGATCACTTGGACTCAGGATCAAACCAAAACAAATGAAGCTATCCTAGCAAATTAATGAGGTCTGCAAAATCAAAAACGAGCCAATCAGCTTTTGCAGCCACAGATTCTCGAAGCTGAACCCCCGCATAACAGATGAACAAGTCGGCAGCACCTGGTCTACGAGCCTAGATGGAAGAACACAACAAACATATTAAAACATGATATACTCCCTCCTATCCTAAATATAAAGTCTATTTGAGGATTTTGATTTGGTCATAACACAAGGTCTCATTCCTTCTAGTTTCTGATATTAAATTCTTTTTTCCCATAATACCCTTATTTATTGGAATATTTTCATCTCTGTGCATTATATTTTAATCACTAAATGGTAGGGGTGTTTTTGGAAATGTGTCACAAATTCTCTCCGCACTAATTACAAATAACAAACTAACCTACTTTTTTTATATTTTATGAATTATGTAAGATATTTAGGACTACAGCTAATACAACAACAACATTATTTGATCCTCTTCTTGTCTCTTGAAAAGGTTGAATCTGTTCTGTTTACATAATACGAATAAGAAAATAATTCTTTTTACATGTATATGCAGGCTTTTACTAACCTCAAGATCAGTTGCACCGTCCCCTATCATAGCTAATTTTTTGTATTTATGACCCTGAAAAATCAGTTTGACCAGACTTACGAGTTACAAGCAATGCATTTAGTAAAAATTAACGAGCAGGAGCATCTGAGCAACGCTAACCTTCCTGATCTGTTCAACTGCAGCTGCTTTTCCTCCACTCTTTGAAGTAGGTTCATTTCTATCGAACCCCACAAACTCTCCAGAGCTTCCAAAAAGCAGTTGATTGGCAAAAATATTTTCTTTTGGGATCCCAAGTATGGATGCAACCGGCTTCATAAGAAGTGTCTTAGTTAGTAGAAAGGAAATAGACTATCTAATTCATCATGCTGTGTCTGTGTGTAGAATCAGCTTGCTTCTCAGATAAGAAAAGCACAGCATTGATTCCGTAGAATTCACCACAATGTTGTAGCTACTATAAGAATTTAAATTTGACAGGTACTAGAGGACATAGATATTAGTTGCTATTATTTTCTTTGTTCTCTTTTAGATTGAAAAACACCAATTGCAAGACCACTGCCTCTCGGACTAATAAGCATGCTGGTTTAAAAGAACAACAAAGATGACATTGCTCAAAAGTCAGATTTCTAGTTAAGGAATCTACATCTACATGCTCTTTGGCTGTCATTCCAAATTCTAAATTCAGTGGAGATTTGGTGGTTATTCAGTAACAGATGTGTATTTTAACATGTTACTTTTTTTAATTATATTGAGGCTTGTCTAGTCCTTTGGTGGACTATATAGGTCAAGACCTGCAAGTGCTAGTTTCAAATTTCATTGGGTACAGTATCAAACTAAAGTCATGTACTTAAACTGTCATAGTTATGTTAAAATTTCCTCCTTTGAGCCTACAATGAAGCAAAAAAAAAAAAAATTACAGCTATTCACCATACATTGATCATTTGACGAAATCCCCCAGAAATCAGATAAACATCAATGTGCTTGGCCTTTAACTTCTCAACTAACTCTTTAATGCCAGGGGAAAGCCTGTATATCAAGAAGTATAATCATAGTCTGAACTAAATAGTTTAAGACACAAATTAGATAAACAGAAATTGGAAGGTGAAAAAGAAAGAACAATAGTAGAAGTTAAGTTTCCAAAATTTAAGTCTCAATAATAATAAAAATATGACTTAAACATAACGGCATGTCATTCTGCTCCAGAAGCCATGCAGCGTTTCTCGTTAACACTGAAACGAAGAGTATGTAAAATTATTACCAGGTGATCAATTAAACATTTGGTAGGTCAAATGATATATCATTCCTTAGAAATCTGGCAATTGCCTTATAGGAGATCATTATGGATGTGATTTATTACATGGCCATTTGGTATATGTGAATTAACTCTCTTAGTTCTGTTGCCAGCCCAACTAGATTACACTGGCTTATCTGTTTCAGATCCACAAGGGCCCTCAAATGGGCACAGACAGCTAGGTTTATGTTAGTTGATGTCTTGATGATAGAATTGAGTACAAATCTGAAACATGTTCCCCAGTACCAATTTTTACAGGCATTGATAATGTTTTTTTTCCGAATAAATAATATCGGGTTATATGTAATACAAAAGGTTGGGAATCTAGTTTTCTAATTCTGCCGAAGTGGAATCTTGGACGAGAATTATTGGAGAAGGATTATTAGTAGGAGTCGCATGGTCAATTTCTTATGGTTGCAAGCCAATCGGGAGATTAGAGGATTATACGGAAGATATAACAATGATAAACAAAATGTCAAATCTTCTCAAGAGAATGCACAAGTCAACAAAATCACACATACCTTGGGGGTCTTTGCTCAATAAAATTCTGAACTTGAGATAAAGAAGGACTGAACAAAGATAGTCTAGAAGCCAAGGCATCCTCAAAAGGAACAGAACCACCCATTGCTCTGGGGAAATTTGAAACTTTAATCAGACACAAAAACTTAAGCAAAAGTAATCAGAGAATTTTCAGTCAGTTGATCCAACCTAGCAGTCCATTCAGCAACGGCCTTTCCAGCACCGCAGAATTCAGCAAGTTCATCAATACCTTCGTCCAGACAGACTGTGCTATCGACATCAAAGCACACAGCATCAACAATTCTCCAAAGCTCAAGAATCTCTATCATTTTAAGAAAGCAACCATCAACATTATGACACCTCAATCAATTTTTTTCTCTTTTTCTTTTTTCTATCAAATTATTTCAGAGTGATGAAAAACCTTTCGAAGGCAGCATGTTTTCAGGATGCCCCACTTTTGAGCTCCCAACTGGTTGAGCAGAAGCTACCGTTATGTTGGATGATATGGACTGCTTCAATAAGCCAATTCGAGTTCCATTGGCATTCTTCCTCGAATATAGTGTGCACGGAGAAAGAAAACGACATTTAGATTTTCTACTATAATCACAAACTGGACTGATCTTATAACTCCCCAACGCTTCCATGAAATTTACCTTCTTCCAAATCTGAAAAGAAAACGGTTAATTTCTAAAATTTTCTAGAAAAATATATTTTTCATCCGGCAAATAACGAATCAAAGAAGAGTGAACACTGTTAAAAAACCAAACGGATGCAACTTATCAACTGCTGACATATTTACACATTTTTTTCAAAATGATATTGAAGCCGAACAATCTCGGGAAAAAGTCACGATCTAATCCATATGCACTAAGCTGTATCAAATATTCAGATCATGTTACGCAACTCACCAGATGAGAATATGAATCTTCTCCAGCGTCTCTGCGAAGAGGAAATGCCAACTTCCTTCTCTCCTTTCAAGAACTGTTGTGATTGTGCATTACGCATAGAGGCGATTTTGCCGGCTCGGGCACGATGCCTTGAGCCCAATCAGGCCATTGGATTTTTGGGCCAGTTGTCTATTTGGACCAATGGTAGTATGGTTCATTATTCGAATTTTGCATGGGACTTCAATTTAGTGTTTTTTTTCCCCCTAGTAAATGAAGCACGAATTGTAGCAGTTCGTGCTCTTAAAAATTATTCTAGCATTCAATTTTTGAAGATGTGTACAGAGAGTATAACTTGAAATAGGACAATCCTTAAATGGCACTTAAATTTTTTCAGAAATTAGTCTCCTGACTAACGGCCGTCTGCATACATTGAAAAAGAAAAAAAAATCAGTGTTTTTATCAAATTGAGAGCACAGTGCCTTGTAATCTTAAGCGTTGACAAAAAAAAAAAAGAAAAGAAAAAAAGATTTGCAATCTTGAGCTTTTAGGGCTCAATACACTGTTCTCTCTGAAATGCTAGATTTACAAATGCAAACTGATAGCCGAACGTCTTTATTATGAGTATTTTTGGTCAGTAATGTAACCTAATTAAATTAAAAATACACTTTACTGCCTCGAAACAGAAAAAGAGGTGAAAATATACTTTAAAAGTGAGACAGAAATTGAACATTAAATCCCCATCATTAAACACTTTACATGGGTTTGAAGTTGGAAATGGAACCGGCTTCTCCTCTCACCCTCCTATCAAATATAAACCGATCATATTAAATATATTTATTTTTTATCTTTATTTTAAGAATTATAAAAAATTTAATAAATACATTTCATTACTAACTTGACAATTCAGATTTAATATTAATAATTTAAATTTGATATTAAATTTTTTATAATAGATTATCTAGAAATACCATACATATTGCAGGTTTAATGTTAAAATTATAAAAAAATTTAATATTAAATTTAAATTATTCATATTAAATTTGAAATGTCTAAATTTTTGATTAAATTTAATAAATAATTATATTTTTATTTTAAAATAATATATTTAAGACTTAAGAGTCAACAACAGTTAGGAGGAGTGAGCGGATCCAGTTGAAACTCCCTCTCCAGAAGGGCAACTGTGTCAGCGCGTCACATCACATTTCCACCCATAGAAAAAGGAAGTCACATATTCTTTTTAGCCTGCGCAAAAGCGAGTCAAATTTAAGGAAGAGATAAGATTAAGGAGGGAAAAAATCAAAATGCAATGGAATAAAAGAAACACAGGAAAAGAGAGAGAGAGAGAGAGAGAGAGAGAGAGAGAGAGAGAACGGACAGAAAATGTCCTCGACACATTATATTCGATAGGAACCGTAGGAATGACATGAACATCAAAGCCCCGTGGGAGATTTTAGCAAGTTGAACAGCACATCGAACACCTTCTCGGTAAGTACGAGCAATACATATGTTCATTGAATCCATCAAAGCCACGAAATGTTTTTATTGACCACGGTTTTCCACACGTAGTTTCATTACCCTACTCAAAGCAGAAAATGTACAGATAAACTACTTCATTAAATCAAATCAAAGTATAAAGCCTACAGCGAGAGAGATAATTCTAAAAGTCTAGAACCGAAATATCTATTAAGCTTTTAGCTGAGCTCTCTAACTCGACCAACGTCTCCGAATCAAGTCGCACTCCTCCGCGTCGGCCACGTCAATCTTGGAAACCATGACAAAGAAAATCGTCTTAAACTCTCTCCTATGTTTAGTCTTTCTGGCCAGAGAAAGGGTATGGTGTATGATGTAGGGTTTCAGAAACACGCCCAAACCAGCCAGAATGGGCAACGACGCTAGCTGCGTCGAAACGAAACAATCAAACGTGCGTAAGACTTCAGGGCCGCTTGCGATAAGCCACAGAGGAATCTTGAACCCTAAAGTGAGCTCTGGCGAAACGACATAGTCGTCTTCCAGGCTGACTCTCTGGCCTTTGATGGGCTCCAACAACAGGGTGTATTTTTGGCGTATGCGAAGCTCGACTATGGCCTCCAAACAGTCACCACTTGTTGGGTTTGATGGCTTGTCTTCCTCGGATATCTCGTACTTCACGGCGAGACTGTGGTCGGTGTGCGGAAGCGCGGTGAAGGGAAACGAGGGAGGGTAATGAAAAAGTGACATGCCGTTAGTTGCGGATGGGGAGACTAGAGAGAGAAGGAAAAGGTCGTGTTGATTCTCGATAATCGATACTCCCCCATCGTGGGTTCATTTTTATAAGAAATTTTTACCTAATTTATTAAATTCAAAATGATTCAGTTAAAATAATAAAAATATTTTAAAAATAAATCATTCTCTAACTTTGATCCTAACTTTTAAAAAAATATTTTAAAAACTTTGCTGAAGAGTAATTTTAAAATTGTATGTCAAAAATTATAAAATAAAAAATAATTTATATAAAAGAATAAGAAGATTTTTTGAAATGTGAATGATAAAAAAATATAAAGAGAGTAGTTAAATTACGGAGTTTTCTTCCTTCGTGCTTTGTTTTGTAGAGTAGCTATCGTAGCTTCCTTTTGTTCGTTTATCAAAATCAAAACAAAAGAAGCCTAAAGGAAAAAGCTGATACTTGATGCCGATGAGAAAATGATTGCTTGCGATTTTAATTTACAATTTCTTTCAAAAATTGCAAGAAAATATTGTTTACCTGAATTTTAAGTTAAAGTATATTTTAATATTTTAATTTTATATAAAATTTTAATTTAATATTTTAATTTTATAAGATATTTTTTTAGTTATCTAATTCTAATATTCTTATTTTAAAATTATTTTTTATATCAATTATTGTTATTTAAAAAAAACTTAATACATTAATATTTTATAATGCCTTGTTATATTTAAAAGTTTAATGTAAAAAATTTTTATGATAAAACCAATAATTTTATGATTAAAAGATTGAAAGTATACTCTATAAAACTAAACAACATAGTAAAGTCTTTAATCTCATGCAAAATTAAAAGATTAAAAATATACTTTAACATAAATTTTATATCATTCTGAGTCTTTTTTGAAGAAGTTGATTGGATTTTTTTTTAATGAAAAGTGAATTTCATTAAAAAAAAATCAACATTTACAAGCAGTTAAGCACGAACTAACCCTGGAGAGTTAAAAAGCCGAACATCAAAACCATCAAAGAGAGAAAAAAGTTGACAGGATCTTGATTGTTGAATTTGGATCTTTTCAATTTCAGGGACTGCACCAGGATTGATTTAAAAGATATTTGATATTAACAAAACCGCAAATCAAGCAATGGTGATTCAGGGTAAATTTTCTAAAATCCACCAGGGGTTGGTTTGTTTGGGTTTTTATTAGAAAATCACTTTTTTTAAAAAAATACTTATAAGAAATTTTACGATGTTTACTTTATTTTATAAAAATAGAATATGAAAAAAGTTAACTTTTGGTAATTTCTGATAATACGAGAATATAATCAATATCATGAAATTTTAAAATAATTAGATATAATAAAAAACAGCTTTTATAAATAAAATCTGTAAAGATGTCATGAAAAGTAAAAATGAAGAATAAATTATTTTTTATGGTTTATAAGTTTGATGAAATATAGTGGAGGTTTGTCTTTTTTATAAAAAGTCAGTTAATAAGGAGAATTTGGTTTACAATATCTAGGGTGCAGGGGATTTCAAAGGAAATGAGGGGTCCTGAGGAACATTAAATGAAACAAAAGTCAAATAGTTAGCTAAAACATAAGTACACCTACACCAATAGTAAAAAAGAGCAATGTTTAGAAAAAGGTATTAAAATAAATTTTTTTCAATTATATTGGAATGTAAGGCCACACTGAATGAAAGTATGTTTTGAAGATGCTTCCTTGATTCAAGCTAACACACTTAGAAAGTAAAGTAAATTGAAACAATTTGACTCAAAGAAAAAGATTGTTTTTAGATAAAGCTTTACGTGAAACTGAAATTGACATAAAAGAAAATCATGTTAAGTTTTATGGAGTATATTTATTTATAAATAAGCTTTACAAAATTTAAAAATAACAGTAAGATCCATTGCAATCTAAATATAATTTGAAATTAAAATATAGAGATAATAATATCCCTATTAAAAATATATTACATCAATTAAATAATTTTTAACTATTTTGTCAATAATTTACAATTATTACTTAAATTTTTTACAATTATAACTTTAATTTTTTACATCAAATATTTAAATATTTAATTATTAAACATGTAAAGATACCATTGTAAAAATTAAAATCAGTATATATATATAAATTTAGAAATAACAGTAAGATTCCTTGCAATCTAAATGTAATTTGAAATAAAATATAGAGACAATAATGTCTCTTAAAGATATATTATACCAATCAATAATTTTTAACTATTTTGGTCAATAATTTACAATTATTACTTCAAATTTTTACAATTATAACTTATTTTTTTACATCAAAAATTTAAATCTTTTAACTATTGAACATGTGAGGATACTATTGTAAAAAATTGAAATCATCATTATGTATATATAAAAGTAGGGTTTCAAGTTACAAAAAAATACCACATATTCATTTTTAGATTTATTATGATTTTATACTTCAGAATGTCTTTCGTACGATTATGTGCTCTAAAGTGAAGTTTGGAATTAGGTTGGGATGTTTATTATTTTTTAAAAATATAAAATATATATTCAAGTTTGAAGTTATGTGTAGAATGAATTATATTTTTAGATATATATATATATATATTATATAACCTACTTTTATCTATTTAAAATTCAAATCTAGCATTTTAAATTTAAATAATATCTATCTATTTAATAACTCTATCCACCTAATAAATGGCAAAAATCTAGGTTAAATATTTTTTTTTATAGATAACTTAGTAAATTAATATCTATCTATAATATTAAATATCAATAATTTTTTTGATACATGATTTGATAAGGAATTCTTGGGATTTGATATTATAATTAAAAATTAATCCAGCAATTTCATGCCCAAAAAAAATAATCAATCAAATTAATAAAAGAATCACAATTTCCTTTGTTTTACTTAATATTTTTTAATTTTTTTAAATTACTAATTAATATTTATCTATTTTAATAACTCTCTCCAACCTAAATATATGGTGAAAATATGGGTTCATAATTTCAATATATACATACACAACTACATATTGGGATCCAAATTTAAATTAATATACATCTGTTTAAATATTTAGAAAAAATATGTGTTTTACTATTTAATCTATCCTCGTGAATTTAAAAAAAATATGTATGATAAAGTATAAATATTAATATATTTAATTATTTGGGTCTCATAATGTTAAAGTCATATATTATTTTTCCTGTATTTTATATAATTTGGATTCTGCAACAGTTTGTTTGAACTGCTAATTTCATATATTAATAATCAGGATCTCATTTTGTTAAATTCATGTATTAAGTTTGATAAAATTCAAACTCCTTTAATATCTACACTCAAAAAAATAATATTTAATATCTATTATTTTGATATTTTAATAAAATTACCTCTTAATTTCTCCTCCCAAGTGAGCTTTATGCAATTATAAATTACTAGGTCATGCTAATAGAATATTTCATACCTTCATGTCCAACTCAATCCTCTAATTGCATTAGGTTTATTCTTCTTCCAACTCTTATACGTAAAAATCATGCACAGTTAAATCAGTTATTGAGGATGATGGAGTAAGTGTTTATGCCTTTTGTATTACTTTTTTATAACTTAAATCTATCAATTATATCTAATATATGATACTTATTCTACATATGGGACAACATTGCTATATGGTGAATGAATATTTGTAATCATTTAAAAGCCTTTTACAAAACATTTTGGAGATAGGTTGCATCCCTTTAACATATATAAAATTTTAAAATTTAGGGGCTTTCAATGTTCTTATTCATGTAGGACTACAAATCATCCTTACAAAATTAGCTTTCATATTCTCTACCAATGTGAAGTTGCATTTTGAGACAAGTTCCATCTATCATTTTAGGTTTAATTTTGTTAATATTATAGAACTTGCAAATTAGGAGGCAACAAATGATAATCACCTAGTAGTTAGTATGTATCTAAATTTTCTAAATTTGTTTTTCAAAAATAATAGTGTTTATTTAATACATACTAGGTTAAGAAAGATAATAAGGCTTCTAATATAAAAATCTAGACATCATTGTGAAACCTAATGAGAGTTGTGACAAGTCAAGTGAAAAAAGTAGTTCGCCATTGTTCTAGAAGAATGAATTAATGGATAGTAGTTGCTGGGTTGTTACGGTAAAGTTATGCCTTAATGGTAATTGTGAATTTGCACTTGCTAGATAGATTGTTGCCAAATATTATTTAGTATACTCCTTCCAAATCCATAATAAAACATCTTTTAAAGAGATTAATAATACTGTCTTGTTAGTGTTGATGTTGCTAGTCTGGTTTTTTTTTTTATTGCTTGACATTTAGAAGGGACTATCATAAACATTAGAAAGTCAAAGTTATTTAGCATTATTGATTTTTTTTTTGAGTTCATTCCAAAGTCCATTCAAAAGTGTTTAAAGGTCTATTTTCTCAACTTTAATGAAAGTAGCTTTTACATTTAAAAAAAATAAATAGAGCTTTAAATGTTGTTGGATAATGTTTTTCACCGTGTTTCCCTCCCCAAATACTATAGAAGCTCTTCCACTAGGAAGAATTTGTATGAGTTATGATGGTAAAAAACACTAATAATCACTTGGCTTGTGACCAGTAAATTTACGTGTTAAGTCAAGGATGTGACCCAATCCACGTGTCATCTTTTGCACCTGTCTACTTGTGCACCTGTCTAAGATCCATTCCTTTGAGGGTTCTTCAGCATAAAAGAAGTGGTCTTCAACAGTACTCCCAAAACCTCCCATTCTTTGTTGGTGATGAGAAATTGTTTGTCTTGTTGAAATCTTCACTAGGACTTGACCCTGAAAATTGGTTTGTTTTAAAACGAGTGAGAATGAAAAATGGGCGAGGAAGAGGGAAGGAAAAAGGTTACAATGAACCAGGATTTGTGGAATTGTTTGCCAAAGGTTCTGGTATCCCTCGAGTTATCAAGCTTCTATCTTGATTTCTCTTTCCCATTCAGTCAAGGTCTTTGCAACCAAATGGCAGCAGATTTTGAACAAGCTCGAGGAGCACTATTCAAGGCCATCACCGTTGTGAACTAGGCAAATTGACCTTCACACTAAAAAAACAAAAATTATTTCTCACAATACTACGCTTCAATAATTTTTAACAAGATGTTATAAATTTCAAATTCATTCTGATTAACACTGAGTTTCAATTTTTTTTGATTGAAACGTGCATAGAATCTATTTAATTTAAAAAATAATAAATATATGTCCCATCATCTCTCTCTTCAATCATTTTTTTTTGTCAAATATAGAAGTTCTAATCATTTAAAAAAATTAAAATATATTTCATCCTCTCTCTAATCAATTTAAATCATACAATTCTAATTCCAACATAACTCCATTAAAGACTAAATAATCAATTGAAGTCTCTAAAAGCTCAAACTATATCAAACCCTAAATTTTTTTTATCATCAAAATCAAAAATCAAAGAGAGTGTGGTGATTAAAAAATATTTAAAATACTTATATAGTCTGGAAAAAGTTCAAGATCAGCTACTTAAGGTATCATATTATGGAGCTCCATTTTAAAAATTTTGCTTACTCTCTGTCTCAATTTTTTATTGTGCATAGTGCGAGAGGAAGACAAAAAGAAAGAGAAGAAAGTGATGCACGCAAAAAAAGAAATGGGTTTGAAAATAATAAGATAACTTAGTAGGTACGCCCCATTCTCTGTATTCATTTTCACTTTTTCTTTGTTTTTTTAATCTTCTTCTTTATTTTTCTTTTCAATAATTAATAATCTATAAATCTCCCCTACACACATATTATGTAATCTCTATAGAACTTTCTTAACATCGTTAAAAATTAAACTCTCCTCTAGCGTATTTTGGCTAAACACAATTTCTTTAATATTTATATAATAATAATTTTTTTATTTAGACTTGAGGAGTGAAAATAGATATGTTATGATGACTTAGTATCATTAATGATATCGCAATTGATAAATTTAAGGATTCACGGTGATTAATATCACTCATGGTATAATTTAAAATATGCTAGCAATTTTATCATTTTGACCTGATGACTTAGTATCACTCAGGGCATCTCATTTGATAATTTTAGAGATTCATGGTAATTTACTCAGCTAATCCAAGCATCTAATGTTGCACTAGACATTAACATTTCAATTTCAATTGATTAGGGATTTCAATTAATTTTTAATCTTAATAGAATTAATAACATTGGAATAAGGATTGTACGATTTAGATCTTGCTCAAATAATTAATTAGAATTTAGTTGAAGAGAGAGAAGATGAGATATATATTTGATTTTTTCAAAATTAAATAAAAAGCTTCTATATCTGATAAAAAAAATGACTGAAGAGAGAGATGATGGAACATATATTTATTTTTTTTAAACAAGTCAAGTTTTATGGATGTTTTTGATTAAAGAAAATTGTGAACTCAATGTTAATCAAACCAAATTTTAATTTATAATATATAAGTAAATATTATTGAAAGTATAGTATCGTGGTAAATAAATTAATTTGCTTGAGAACTATGATCCCAGCAAGTTTGAGAAAATAAGTGATGGTATTCGTTGGAGGGATATAAGAGTTTGGAGGGAAAGAAGAGTGTAAAGGGAGAGGGAAGGATGAAGAACGATAATGGTATGGGAATGATTCAAGTCTATGTGTGAGTCTAATTCTAAGCTCATTTAAGTTGCCACATTAAAGCGACATGTTTAATGGTTAACATTGGCATGGATTAATGGTGTAATGGCATTTATTATATTATTTTCGAAAGATGGAGGGCGGCATTGCCCTAATAAAAGTTTACGATGCCAGTCTCGGATAAAAAGTTCTGAGTCAATTTACCATTTAATCCTTTGAAATTTCATATTTAATTGGTTATCAATCACTCAATTGCAACCGAAATCTAAAACCTTCGGAATCTGAAACAGAAATCTTTATCTAAAACCTTCGGTTCAGTTCAGAAATCACAACCGGAAGTCTGGAATCTAAAGTCCCAAGAAATAAGAGCGCGCTCTTTTTAACCCTAGAAGGAGGGAAGTGAGCATTACATCTGCGATTACAATGGTGGCTGAGAACTCATCTTCCGGGAATATACAGGCTCCTAATGCTCATTTCTTTGGTAAGCTGTTGACTTCGAAATAGCTCTAATTTTCGGTTCATGAAGAAATTTCGACGACCTTGACCCTGGTTAATGAAAAAAGAAAAAATAAAAACAACGGGACGCCACTGGTTTGGTCATAAGTATTTTCAAAGGTAGAGGAAAGATTTGACTGATTTATTTGTCGAGTCTTTCGGAACAAGGGTCAACAAATTAAGCATTAAGCCTTGCTTGAAGTAGCACCGTTTATTCTAATTAACATCTTTCTTGGGCAATAAATGCATTATACTGACCATTTTTAAGCTGATAAATTGATTACTTCTCTTCTTTGGTAGAAATGTTGGAAGTGGTGTTTAAATTACTCATCATGGGGAGCAAGTCGATGCTGTGTTAGCTTACTAGTTTGGGGATACTTGCAATTCCCACTTGATGTGCGACGTGCTTAGTTTTCCCAATCTGATGGTCAATTATGTAATCTGACCGCAAAATTTTGATATGCCCATATAAAATTGGCACAAAGTATTTTATATCATTTTGCTTTTTAAGCTATTGACGATATTATCTATTCTGTAAAAAAATGTGTTTATAGTATGTCATGAAGTCCAATAATGTGACATAGTCGAAATGGCATGGAAAGATATCTGCCCTTTTGCAGTGGCTTCTGTGGTTCATGAAATTTATTTAGGGCTTTCTTTGGAAGGTGCAAGGAATAGAAAATGACTTACTTTGAAGGCATTTACTTTATCTCAATGGATAATAAATGCTTGCTTATACTGTCTCCTTTTCATCCCTACTTCCTTCCAAGCAAAGCCTATTGTCACAAGAACATTGTTTCCTTTTATAGAAATACAACTAAAAAGAATAAATTTTCTTATTTGTATTACATTGATGTTATTGAAGTCTGGAGAGAGTTTGTTTGGGGAGCTATTGCTGGTGCTTTTGGGGAAGGAATGATGCATCCGGTGGATACCATTAAAACACGGATGCAAAGTCAAGCAATAATTGATGGAATTCAGGTAAAACGAAATATCATAAATACATTTAGGCATTAGTATTGATACCTTTTCAAACATCGGTGTAGATATATTGTCTCTTATAAGCTTAACAACACAAGCTACATGGACACTGCTGTGCCATTTGATTTAGTCTTAGCTAAATCCTTTCTCTTTGTTTTGGAACTTCATTCCTATCTTCTAGAATCAGAAGAGCATACTACAGATGGTGCGGTCTGTTTGGCAGGTTGATGGTTTAAGAGGTACAACTTTTTGAGTTATAAAGGACGAATAGAACTTATTGATCTTGATTTTAAATTTTCATCTTGCTAATTCACTGATAAATATACTTGATATTTTTTTGAAATTTTTTTAGACACAAAGACTTGTGCATCTTGGGCTATGTGCTTTGTAAATATTTGTCCCCATGATTGATTTGAATTGTTTAGGCTTTTACAGGGGTGTAACACCAGGGGTTACTGGGTCTCTTGCCACCGGTGCAACATATTTTGGTGTCATAGAGTCCACTAAAAAATGGATTGAGGACACACACCCTAGTCTTGGTGGCCACTGGGCGCATTTCATTGCTGGAGCTGTTGGTAAGTATTGATTCCATAGTTCCAGCTATTTTTGTATCATCTTGAGTTCCAAAAGTTGTATGTTTTGCTGGAGTCACTGATGAGCATGCATAGAAAAGGACTTGTAACGTGTCTAAGTCACATATTGTCCTCATATGTTATTATATACAACTTCTGAATTGCTATCCAATCTCGTGTCTCAAATGTGTTCTGGCATTTCATTGTTACACTGCAGTATGATGTCAGAATGTTCTTATTGCTGGCATCAATGCTTGTAATTGTGTGATCCATGAATTCACGCTCATGAGCATTTGAGTATACCTCCTAGGGCTCAATCTTTGCCTTATTTGTTGCCTATTCTTTCAGGAGATACGCTTGGTTCTTTTGTGTATGTTCCATGTGAAGTGATAAAGCTACGCATGCAGGTTCAAGGCACAAAGTCATCATGGAATTCCGTCATCATGAAAGATAGCATTTCAATGAAGCCTGGCATTCAAATATATGGTTACTACACAGGGATGTTTCATGCTGGTTGCTCAATATGGAAAGTGCAGGGCTTAAGGGGTTTGTATGCTGGGTAACTAAAATAGATCTCTTTATTTTAACAGTGTAATCTGGCGTTGTTTAGCATATTACTTACCATTGGAGGCTGCCTTTTTTCATTTGAAGAGTTGCTGGAAATGGTGCACTAATCAACATGTTATATTGGGCACAAGCTAAGCCCTACCCTCTTCTTGCTATGTCACTATCATAAGTTGCATGTTCTTTTTAGTATTCACAAGACTCATAGCAGTTTACCATAAGTGTTTTAGGTTTTTCACACATGCAAATAGATAGAGGCATTTATTTATAGTTTATATATATCCACATGACGTATCCTTTCTTTATGAGTGAGTCATGGAAGTCTGAATCCGTTCTTTTCCCTTGATTTGATGCTTATATATAAATCCTTCTTTTCTTGCCTCTGGCAGATATTGGTCTACTCTGGCAAGGGATGTCCCATTCGCTGGACTGATGGTATATGCATGACCTGTAGCTTAATATTCCTAAAAGCTTGATAAATGATAGAGCACAATGGCGTCTTGCAATCCATGTAGCCGACTCCACTTAGTGGGATAAAGGCTTGTTGTTGTTTTTTTTTTTTTTTTTATAAAGAACTACTCTAGTGATGGCTTGGCTCCAAAAAAAGAACCATAAATTTTATCATGCTGTTTTCCCTGCTTTGAAGCAAATCGTTTTTACTTATAGGTCATGTTTTACGAAGCTATGAAAGATGTAACAGAATATGGGAAGCAAAGGTGGATATCAAACTCGGATTGGCATGTCAACAGTTCTTTAGAGGGACTTGTGTTAGGAGGCTTAGCTGGTGGTATGTCCTATACTTTCCTTTAATTAGTGAATTGTTTAGGATTAATAATTTGTGGTGTGAAATGATCTTACTCAGGTCTTGGTGCTTATCTCACTACTCCCTTGGATGTCATCAAAACAAGATTGCAAGTGCAAGGTTCAGCTATAAGGTAGCAGGTTAATTCTATGACTGTTCATTCAATTTATCCCTGGTGCAGACTTGTCATGAAGATACTTACCATGTTCTTTTCCTTAGAATAATCATGAACTTGGGGGGTTATTCCTGTTTCCGAGGGACCGAGCTAAATTGATGCTGGTAATTAAGCCTTTTTATGTTGTACTAGGTATAGTGGTTGGTTGGATGCGATCCGTAACATATGGGCTATGGAAGGCATGAAGGGGATGTTTAAAGGTAGCGTCCCGAGGATTACATGGTACATCCCTGCTTCTGCGCTCACATTCATGGCTGTGGAATTTCTCAGAGGTCATTTTAATCAAACAGACGCATGTGAAAATTTTCAAGAAGTTGCTACATTATCAGTGGACAAGAATAAATCTTCTGTACGAGAGGTTGGGTAAGGTTTTCTGGCCAAATGGTGTTACTTCCCGACCATTTTTTTTTTTTTCAAGATGGATTGCGGTATCATATTGAAATTCTTAGACATCTCAATCTCAATACATGGAGAGAAAAGCCAAGTTGTAACTTAGTTCTGAAATGTTGAACCGCAGGAAAATGAATGGAAAATTATAATTTTTGGGTACTACATTTAAAAATTTCCAATTAGCTTCATCAAGTTGAATTCTTATTATTATATTTTGGAAAAATTAATTATTTAGTCTTTATAATCTTAGTTCAGTTGTAATTTAGTTTTGAAGTTTTGACACGGTTCAAACTCAATTTTGTTTGGGTTTAAATTCAATTACTAGCCTTTAACTCTATGGAACATGATCCCTATAGTTTTGGTCATTTAAAACAATAGTCCCTATCTTTGGAAAAAATAATTTTAGTTGTAATTTTATTTTTTGAAATGCAGGGGAATTAATATTTTAAATAATTGAAATACAATTATTTTTTATAAATACGTCGTTTTTATTTTAACAACAATTTTTTTCTGTATGGGCGCTTCTCTTAGAAAGGCTTTTTGTCAGGGTTTCTCTCTTAGACGAGTTTTGTCAGGTCTTTGGATATGATCTCCTAAGTCATGTAGATGTTTATATTTGTGTTTGTTGAACTAGTTAACCAGTGCAGTCATTTGTTTTTCTAGACACATGATCAAATTTAACACTATAAGTTAAGTTTCTAAAATTTGTTTATCATATATTTTTAAGTGGATGATCGCACTTTTCAATGGTGATACTTATGATTAAGTTATCCAATAGTATAATGAGTTGTACTATTAATTAATTCTCTCTCACACACATCAGCATGCATGTGTATTCATAGAAGAATAATATAACGAGTAGAAAAGTTTTATATATAAAATTGGAGAATCATAATATTAAATTCTTAACTGCATTTACATGTTATTATATAACGTTAGCAGACAAAATTTCAGAGCAAGTAGCTACCACTTGTGAAACCGTATAAGTTGAATTATACATGCATTCAGAACGGTCACTATAATAATTAAAAGTAATTTAGATGACTTTTTTTTTTAAAAAAAGAGCATTTTATACTCATGGAGCCCAACCCATCTCAATTTATATTAAGACAAGTCTAACAAGAGACTCTTTGACCTGAATTGCCCAAGGAAAAAAATTGTTGCTAGAAAATTGTTACCCTTGTCTAGTTCAAATTGATTTGATTCAGATTAATTGAAATCTAATTTAACGATTTTATTTCTTAAAACCAATATGTATTTGGAGAGGAGGGAGTGGGGGGGGGGAGAGAGAGAGAGAATGATACGGAAGATTTAAAAGGAGACAAAATCAAAATGGTGCGCAGCACGTGACATCCATAGATCTTTTGAGAGTTTAAAATTGCCATGTGGATTCTGTATTTGTCGGTAAATGATGCAACGACCCGATGACAACCACAGCCACGCACACCTGGAATGTAGATTCTCCCAAGACCATAAATAGTGGCTCTTCTGCTAACTTTGTCTAACATGTGACTCCATTCCAGACTGTTCTTTTCTTGTTTATATGTCCACTTCATCCAAAGGCACACATTCATGCCAAGTATTCAGATTCAGCCAAGATGCGTATCGAAATTTAAAGACGTTGAAATGACGCATCCGACATATTTTGAAAATATATATTTTCCTCCATCGTATTGAAAGATATGAATCTAAATTATCCAACAAAATAAACCAGTGGTAAAAGCTTGTTTAAAAGACAAGCGAAAATGAAATGCATTGGTGTCCATGCTCATTAGTAATTCTAATTCTCCAAACCAGAAAGAGAGGAGTCAACGAATGAGATAAAGTTCTTATCAGAGTAATTAACTACCAACCTCTTAGAGAACTGAAGATCCAGATGTACATGAAGAGAGAATTAATGCAAAACTAGAGAGAACACCATAGCACTGCTCAGAAAGAATCAAAAGCCCATGAGGTAGCAGATAACAGAACCCAAAACTACTCATAAAAACCTCACGTTGTTCCTAGTTCAAGTTCATCAAGACCTACTTAATCACTTCTTCTGCACAGTGAAACACAGCATCATCACATCAGCACCATCACATAACCCCACCATTGCTGGCCAGAGTCCATACCCACTCACTGCTCTCGTCCTTTCACTTCTCAGCCCCCCACTAGAGCCTCAGCGTCGTCATCATCAAACTTGAAAAGAGGAGGATTGAGAGTGTAGAGACCAGGATATGGTCTACAAGTCTGAGCCCACCATGACTAGTGTCATCAGTGGTCATGCCAGATCCAGTAGGTCCCATGCCATTGCCGATCCCTCCTAATACCCCAGGTGTTGCACCATAAGGCGTGGCTGTCGTGGTGGAGCCGGAGCCAGTGGTTGTCGATGGAGTTCCAATTCCGGTGTAAGGAGAGGCTGAAGTCGGTGTGGTTGTCCCGGTTGTAGGGGTTGTACTAGTGCCAGCAGTACTGATTAGGGGAAAAAACAGTCCGTATCAGGAACTAAACCAGTAAAAGTCAGTAATTATAGATTCACACCTTTAAATGTGTTGGTGAACGGACACAATAAGGCTCTTATTGCTAAAGAGATTCAAACCAACCAGCATTCTTATCTCGTGTCCTGACAGGACATAGCACAACATGAATTATGCAGAAAAGCTGTAAGAGTCATACTTGATTATGAAGAACAAGCACGTTCTGGATATGCAAGAAGCTCTTTTCCAACATAACTAGAAAATCAGCTCAGGCCCAAGAGTTTCAAGCATGAAATATAGATACCAGAAACTGAGGAAGACATGACAGATAGCAGTTGAAGACAATTTAGACAGAACAAAAGCTCCTTGTTCACAAAGTAGATTCATTTCCAGGCAAAGTAGTTTCAACATAACAGGCTCATAAGACAAATAATGATTAACATAATTTAATCATCTTTGGTTAATAAGTCTCATTCAACATTCTTCCAAGCGTATCTAGGGTCCACAGCCACGAGATAGTGTAGCAAGCAGGACGAATCAAGAGGGCCCAAGTCCAGGCTAGTGGCCGCTGCTTCTATGTGAGATGGTGAAAACTGAAAACGACTGGTCGTCACACTAACCAAGAAAACTTGGACTTTTTTTCTAAAGTTTTACTCAGATTTCAATGCAAACGTACATTTATCTATCTGGCTTTCCTTGTTCCCTTGTCATCAGAATCAAAATCGCAACAACAATAATAATCTCAAGATAAAAGATGGAATCTTGAACTAGGTTTCGCTATAGGTTCACGCTTAACACTGTATATTATCCCACTATCTTCTTCCCGGCATGGTTTGGTTTGCCACCTACCCAAAAGGCAAATCGAAAGGGCATCGAACAAGGGATTTATTTGAACAAAATTACAAAAATGTCAATTTGTAGTAATGATGCCCTTTCTATTTATTTTTATATTGTTTCTGGTTGTACAAGAAGAGCTGTAATGATGGCCTTTTTATTAATGCTAAATTGCTAGTAAGGTTCAAACTTTACCAAAAAGGTGTGGAATCCCCATTATTGCATATCTTTAGCGATGTTAAAAAGTATTACTGCAACAGCCACGCTCATCAATAAACGGTCAGTATGGGGCATAAGCATAATGACATTTCAAGATGGGACAAATAAAAAGAAAATAGTAAAAAATATTGTAGAGAGGAAATTTTACAGTGAAATTAGAGGTTAAAAAATATAGTAGAACAAAAACACGAAATTCAACCTTTCTATTGAACACGATTAGATTTTAATTCAGACTCTTATTTCCAAATAATCACCCAATTTTGTTGGCCAAGAAAAAACAGAAAAAATCTACTTTGAAAAACCACGAAAACCTTTTTCAAACGAAAAATTTTGCGGGTTCTAACAAAAATGGGTACATTTTGTGGGTTGCTAACGAAAAATTTCCTCTGCTTTTAAACGTTGGAATGAAGCAAATATGCGAAAACACAAAAAGAAAAAAGAAAAGAAAAAGAAAACCACCGCTTTTGTGGCCCAAAAAAAGTATTTAAAAAATTCCACCGATTTCCAAGTTAACTTCCCCACCGCATCATCCTTTTTGTTGGAAATTAAACAGTTTTTTCGTTTTCATTTTTAATTTGAAAAAATCACGACGACAATAATAGTTATCATCTCATCAGCGTTACCTTTCTAATCCAGCGAAGAAATGTCGCCATCTTCAAAATCATCATAGAGCTATATGTGAAAATGAAATGGCAAAAAGTTTTAAATCTAAAAGCTTTATAACAAGCTGCGAGTATGCCGAGCCATACCTACCGCATCCTCTCACAAAAAAGACCCTTTTTGTGGAAAAATAAATCAATAGAATTAACATTTTAAGAAAAGAAAGACTTAAGCGTCCGCATTGATCAAACTAAAAGAACAGAAAAGGCCGCATTGAAAGGTTGTAAGAATCACATTCCAAGCTTAAAAAGAAAAAAAGAGGGAACAAAGATTAAACAAAAACAAAACGAGAATTATAGATCAAAACACATACCTAGCGCTTGAGGGGTAAATACAACCAGCACTGCCTGTCATCAATAATCACAAAACAAAAAATATGAAAAAAGTTTCTCTTCTTGGTTCTTTATTAGTGACTAAGGAAAAAATATGCAATATACATTACTAACAAAAAGCAAAGAAACAAGAAAAATGAAGAGGGTTTAGAGATTTACTGGGGTCAGATGCAGTAACGGTGGCCGTTCCGGCGAAGTCACAGGTCCCTTGGCCCTGACCCTTCTTTTGGAAAAAACTGTTAACGGCGTAACTGCAGTGAGCCCTAACGGTGTTAGGTTGGAAACAAGGTCCGTTTTGATGGATAGGGTTACAGTCAGCCCCAGCTCCACAGGCATAATCCAATGTCTTTTGAAGGATTGCGTCGCTCCCATCCTTGCAAACGCACCAGTTAGCACCTTTCAAAATCAAACAAGAAAAGTGAGTGACACTGACAATGGCACATCCTCTACACACACACACACACAAGATCAATACACAAGAATATGAAGCAAGTAAGAGCAAAGGTCTCGTCTTTGAAGGGTCTGCGAGAAAACGAAAAGGAGAAATAGATAAAAATATATATATATATCAGGACTCCTCACAAGGAAAGAGATAATGTCGCAAACAGATCAGGTTAGTTCAGGAAAAGATAAGATCTTTACGCCAAAAAAAAAAAAGGAAAGACAAAGAGAGTGTAAGTGTGCAGCTTGAGTAGGAAAAAAAGGAGAGGGAAAATGGAAGAGAGTAAATCAGCTGGGAGGCGTACTTGTAGAACCAGTGAAGGCCAGGAGAAGCACTGCGAGAGCTAGAACAGCCATGTTAGCTAAGCTAGAGGAAGAAGAACGGCTAGGAACAGAGAATGGTGAGAGAGAGAGAGACGTAAGCAACATTGAGCAGAATGGAAAGCGTGGTACAGCAAAGAGAGCGAGAAGGAGAAGAAGAGGGAACAACGGTGGTGGGTGCGTGACAGAGTAAGATCAGATTGGAGTGGCGAAGAACATGAAGACAAATATCAAACATATAGAGATTGATGTAAAGTTGTGAACGGTGGCGTGATAGTGGCCCCGTTTAGTGTCGGCTTGTGGGCGTAGAGTGGCAACTTTTTTTCGCTAGATTTGAATTCCTAGCTGTAAACTATAAGTTACTAGTTATTTATTTTTTATTATTAATTAATAGTTATTTTTTTAAAAAAAAAATCACGCTCCTTGGTTTCTTTTCTTTACCCTATATCAAGGAAGGTAATAGAAACAGTGTCGCGGGGACTCGCGAAGGCTTTTACCAGAGTGAGACCTTAAGCAGTGAACTGACCTCTGGGAATGTGTGTCTGTTGTTTCTTTTTCGATTCCTATTGTCATTGTGTTACAACTTTCGGTATCCAAAGTGAACGAGGGGAACGCCAAGTTCAAACATTTTTCTTGACCAACCCTTCCTAGGTCTAAAAGTCGTCTAAATTCACCAAAATAGCAGGAAGGCCAGTGAAAGTCAAATTAATTAAATAAATACAGCATGGACTCTATGCTTTTTCGCAGCATGAAGTTAAATCAATAGATTTGTAGTTACATGGGGAGAAATATAAAATCTGATATTTCAACTTTCAAGTACTGGTATTAGAATCAAGGGGTATATATATAGTTACAGTATCAGAGGGCATACACACACACACACACACACACACACACACACAGAGTGAGTTGGTTTTCTTCGTTCGGATAAACCGTGAAAAAGCAACCATTATGGGTCCGAAGATAAGGGCGTGGGTGGTGGGTATGATGCTGGACGCAGGTGCGAAATTTACTACTGTGGGGCCCATCTAATTCATTGTTACTTTTGAAATTCGATCTGTGCTGGCCATAAATAGTGACGCCAGTTTGAAGTGTGATGTGGTTTTATCATCTTGAAGACCTCGGCGGCAATAATGGATCCCCGATTTGCAGAAAAAGAGGGGAGGGAGTGGAATTGTCCCATTAATTAAAACCAGCCGGATTAAAGAAAACTTTAGAGAGGATATGGGTGAAATAGATAGACCAGTTAGTACGAAGCTCGACAATGCAGAAACTGTGATGAGAGATTCACAAAGATGGCGTTATGCCATGGCCTTTTTACCTGTATACTCTGAACAATTTTTTTTAAAAAAAAAAAGCTAAGTGCTGCAGTATGAAAAGTATTTACCCAACGCTTTACCAAAAATTGTTTAAACCAAGAACGGATTAATATTTGTAAATAACTCATTTAAGTCACGAACAACAATTTTGCAGTCAAAATTTTTTTAAAAAAGTGAAATTATTAAATGTGTATTTGGATAGCCATATTAATCAATTTTTTGAGTACAAAAAATTGATTTTGGCTTCATTTACCCAAATACCAGGTTTTTTGGTTGATCAATTTGTGGGATGACAATCGATTTTCCTCCGAAGTTGCCAATCCAAGCTTTTGCAAAAAAATTTATGAAAATATATTGAAAAAAATTACAAAAAAAGCCTACAAAAAAATTACAAAGAAAGCACATAATTTAATAAAAATAAAGCCAAACTCTCTTCTCTTCTTTTTTTTTAATAAAATTCAAACATTGTATTGTCAATGAATTTGTTTGTAATAATTAAATTATATAGTAATTTATATAGTTAAAATTAATTTTGATTAAATTATTCAAACATCATTCAATTTTGTTAAAATTAATTTTAAAAAAATAGTATCCAAACAAATTATGTTATAACATAATCAATTATGATAAAAATTTACCGCTTAATTAATTATTTTTATAATTTATTATACCCAATTGAAATTCAAACGAGCACTAACTTGGCAAATAAGTTCAATTTTTTTAACTAACAAGGCATATTATTTTATATTTTACTTTCTCTCAGCTTGTCCTATCAAGAGTTGAATTGTCTCATTTGCAAATTTCTCAAGGTAGATCGGTCATGCAACATGGTGGCTACTTATTTGCTCAGTTACCAATTGAAAATGAAAATGTATATAAACAAGAGTCTCAAGATTTTAATTAATGTCATTATATATTAGCCCTATCACTATCATCACCTTTTTCACCTCTCTTAATCTTGCTTAATTCGAGTCTTGTTATATGTCACATTCATCTTCATCCCTTTTCAACTCACTCACTCTTATTTAATTTGGATCATTCGTGTATTTACTTGATGAACCCATACTGTTCTCAGCTAAATACAACACTTACACTTTTGAACAATTTATTAATAAAGACATAACACTCTAAATACTCATGCACATAATGAGATTGACTAAATTTTTGAGACTCTTATTCCCTTATATTTTCATTTTCAATTAATGGTTAGATAGATAAATAATCATCACATTACTTACTCAATTTATCTCGAGAAATTTGTAAATAATGCAACTCAACTCTTGATAAAGCAAGTTGCAAGAAAGTAAAACATAAAATATTATTCCCCGTCAATCAAAAAGCTAAACCCATTCGCATTTCATCTTTTGCTAAAAATAATTTCTTACTACAAAAGTATTATTGATATGAACAAGTTATTGACAAATATAAATTCATTCTTGATTTGAACGATTTTTGGTATAGTATCCGAATAAATATTGTCCAAGGGGCAACATTTAGGTAAATAGCATTAAGATAAAAAAAGCTCATCATCAACAAAAATTACATGAGTTGGGACTTCAAATTATCAAATTATCTCTCATTTTAAGTGCGAGTAGTTAACTATCGCAAGGGATTTTTTTAAAGAATTTCCATCGAGGAACCTCACTGCTGAGCGATGATCATTTATGTTATGAGTTGTAGCATTTTACATTCATGTTTTTGAAAATCTTAAACTGACTATCTTAAATCTTAATATTTTTGTACTTCTATTTTTGAGTTTTGGAATTTTATGCCCTTTAATCTAGAGCTAAAATCTTAACCTTGCTTCTGTCCATAAGCCTCTCCACATGCATCCATCCCTCCAAGGCAACAGTCTTCAAGCTAGCTTTAACATTTTATGGATCAATTACTTTAGGCTTTGTTTTGCGTGATGTAAGAGTTGTGGATGAAATTGAAATTATAATGAAAATGAAAATATAAGAGTATATTTGATATGGAGGCAAAATCTTGGTATAATTTTATTTTTAAAAAATATGTTTGTATTATCAAAAGTCTAAAAGATCCTTGCTAATTGAAGAAAGAAAAAAAAACACACACACACCCCTCGATCTATAGCCCCACTCCTATAGTGGCCATGTCCTACTTCATGCTAACTTAATATTGGATTTTGAGGAGGAATACATACTTACAGTGGTTGAGTTGCACCGACGTATGTGGGAACAAAGCCACGAGGTCGAACTTTGTTTGGATACACATAGTAAATACACTTGTAGAAATTGAGAGAGAGAGAGAGAGAGAGAGCGCAAGCCTAACGAATGAATTCTCAATCAATACACAACTGCTTGAAAGTTTTCTAGCTCTTAAGACTATCCACACTGATTGTGGTTTTTAGTCGTACGTGCGTGAAGTAAAAGCATTCCCTCCTCTAAAGTTTTAAATCATTAAGAGAAAATTACACACTTAACCTATAGTATATTACATTTTCGAGCTTAAATATTCTCTATATTCTAATAAAAATCTCATAGACTCATATTAGGCCTGATCCACCAAGAGTGGATTACCCAACACATAAGAATGATGGTAGGGTGATCTAAAACAAACTAACCTATTTCAATCATAGTTTCATACTTGCCCCAAAAATTATATCATCCTTCGAACAACAAAATGGAACCAGAGTAAAGAATGAAAAAACCTATGAACTATTCCGTGTATGCTTGATTCCTAATAGCCTAATACAAATGTGTGTCAACTATTATCTATTATATTTTATTATATTATGTTATATTGCTAATACATGTAATGCGATTTTTTATATGATACCTATTGTATTTATAGCATATTATTCATTTATTTACATTGATTTATATCATTTAATTTTAAAATATACAAGTTAGTTCTTTTCATGCTCTTTTACTTTTTTTAAATTCTTCTTTTTTTGGTATATAAATGTCTTCTTATTTGATGTATTTTTTTTGTATACATTGTCAAAAACTGAACAAAAGCCCTTGTCTTGACAAGATTCAAATTGTAGCCTACCAAATTGTGGGGGATTGGTTTATTCCGCTAAACCCAACCTCCATACACTTTCTACTTTACTTTCTACTTTATCTTGTTGTATATTTTACATGTTAAACACCTTCTTGTGTCTTGATGATTTTATAGAAGGGGGAATCATTTTCAAGGATCGCTCAAAAAACTTCTTTATAAATAAGCACTGATAACATGTTTCATTAAAAAAATAAATTTATGTTCCTATTTTAATAATAAACTACTTTATATTAATCATTGTTTGTGAATAATTATTTTTTTGAGTGATCATTGAATGTAATTTTTCTTTTTATAACAGGAAATGCCTTTGTGAAATTTTGCCTTTTCATGCATGTGATACTAAGGTGAATCCTATTATAATTAATACTGTGTAATCAATCTAAAAAGATGTATTTGGCAAAGATCAATTTCAGAAAGTAGCAAAATGATATTATGCACAAAACCAGGAATTCATAGATCAAAGATCCATTTGGATTTCAATTAGGTATAATTAATTATAAAAATAATTAATTAAGTGATTAATTTTAATCATAATCAATTATGTTATAATACAATCATTTGGATATTATTTTTTTAAAATTGATTTTAATAGGATTGAAGTTATTTAGATAATTTATTTAGAATCAATTTTAACTATATAAATTACCATAAAGGATATTACTTTTCAAAATTAAATTATTAATAAATTTGTATATAGTATTATTAAATTTTATTTATAAAATTAAAATATATTATTTAAATTATATATCTGATTAATTATAAAAATTTAAATTATATTAATATCAACAATTTTAATTTACGTGAATAAATAACTCAATACATCTTAGTTCAAATTTAATAAAAGATAAAAATTTAATTTTTAAATACCGATCATTAATTTTACAATAACCAATAAA